CCTTTACTAGAGTAGTGGTATCTTCAGAACTAGGCCATAGCACTTCTTTACAATTTGCCCCCTTGTCTAAATTCCTTTTTGCGTTTTCAACTTTCTAATGCTGTGAAAATTGTCTCATGTATTCAGGCATAGAATAGTTTGTTAGTCACTTCTGGGCTTTAGCTATGGCTGTATTCTATTCTTTGACTTTTCCTTTGAGGGACACTAGAGTAGCAGGTCAGGATGTTCTAGGCCCACATGAGGAACTAAAGTTGTGATCTGGTAGGTTTTTCATTTCAAAGCTTAATTTTAAATTGTGAGTGTAAACATTTAAGGGGTGATGACATTAACTGCTAGATTTATTGTAATTTTCTAGCTCAAATCTTGGTTTGAATTTTTATTTTAATTTCTTTTTTCTTTCTGTTAACTTTTCAAAGCATTGATATAATACCTGTATAGGAAGGCCATCCCAATTTGTAAAGTGAAAATCTGTGGCATTTAACCAATATACAGTAATAATTTTTTGATCTTTTCTTTGCTTAAATTGTAAGCTCTACTGTAGTGACTGAGCTGTTTGTTTAAGGTTATATTTAGCACATGAATATCTGAAAAGTATGCATGTATCATATCTTCCACTTAAAGTTACAGGCATCACTTTCAGATTATTTTTTGACATGCTGCATATGGCGGAAGATGTTAAAGCAGTTAAACTGCAACCTAAGCTGTACCTCGCTGCTTCCAAATTTTTTTTTCAAGGGTTAGGAGGGCCCTGCTCCTTGGATTTTACAATCTCTAAGAAATAAATATATATCAAATTTTTAACATAATGCATGAATTGCTGATGCAGTTTTGGCTCCAGCAAATGTTGTTTTACATACATGAACATGTGGAAAGATGTGGGTAACCCTACTATTCGAGGAGTTCTGGATGTATACCCATGGGAAGAATGAAATTGCCAGCAAGTAATGATTTGCAGTACCAGCTGGGTCCTGTTAGCCAAACATGGAAACTTGGCATATTTGTCTAACTGGGTAAAACTATGCAGCAACCATCTCCCCTGCCTGCCTTCCACTTGGTCAGCCTTGGCAGGACATCTGGTTACTAGAAGAACCCTAGGCTCATATTATGGACATTTGACGTGTTGTATTATTGTGTTAAATTTATTTACGGCAGAGTGATTATTTGATGGTTTTGATTTTGAGTGTTGATACGACACGGATCACATTCACATATTTTTTTATTCCCGGTGGGAATATACATGTTGCACTTTTAATAGTTTAACCCTTTTGTACACTGGGGTATTTTATAGGTTGGGAGATATATTTATTTATTCACATTTATAGCGCTGCACTGTTTAATATATATATATTCATTTTACTCTATTGGTAAGAGGATTTTTTCTGTCATTTTCTAGGCTCATATTTGCCCTCCAGGGAATTTACCCCTCTTCCTTTTTTTTTTTCCACAAATAGAGCTTTCTTTCAGTGGTATTTGATAGCCTGTGTGGTTTTTTATTTTTTGCGCTGTAAACAAAAAAAGACCAACAATTTTGAAAAGAAAACTGACTTTTTGCTATTAAACATGTGCAGTAAAACAATTTTTTCATAAATTTAGGCCAAAATGTGTTCGGCTACATGTCTTTGCTAAAAAAAAAAAAAAACTCAATACATGTAATTGGTTTACATGTTATAGCATCTGCAAATGGTGGTGTGTATATATACTAGGGTTTTTTTTATTTTTACTAGTAATGGTGGCGATCAGCAACTTATTGCGGGACTGCAGTGGGCATTCTGACACTGGGGGGAACTGACTTGGTGTCAACTGAGGTTATTTAGTGACGCCGGTACATAGTGACGCCGGTACAGTGATCAATGCTAATAAAAAGCACTGACACTGTACTAATGGCACTGGGCAGGAAGGGGTTAACATGTGGGGCAGTCAAAGGGTTAACTGTAACTGTATGGCTGTATTTGTGCTTCTCTCCCCTGTCAGCTCTTGCAAACAGTTTCTCATCAGTACATGGCAGTCTTGTGACTTCTATCAGTGTCCAGCTGAGCACTGGTAAACCTTGTAGGAGTTTTCACTTTCCTCCGACTGTCTTTTGAGGCTGCGTGACCCCTGACCCTCTGTCTGAACAGTGCTGACTGGCCCTGTGCTAATCAAACTCTCTAGCAATACACACCAAACTGAGCATGTGCAGAGTGACTCCTAGGGCTCTGTACTATGAGCAGATGGATTGGAGAGTGTGGAAGAAGGGGAAGATCAGAGAAGACTGGATCAAACAGTCTTTTTACATAATGCGGAAAATTAACCCTTTAGGTTCCACAGTGAGTATAACAAGCATGCTTTAACGCATATGCAGACTGATTTTACTGTTGTGAGTTTAGTAACACTTTAACTGCATAACATTGCAATTCCGGAAAATGAAATTTAGGAAGTCATTTGTGCATCCAGAAAGTATTCACAGTGCTTAACTTTTGCCACATTGTTATGTTACAGCCTTATTCCAAAATGGATTCAATTTTTTTCCTCAACATTCAAACAATACCCCATAGTGACAATGTGAAAGAAGTTTGTTTTGAAATCTTTGCAATTTATTAAAAAAAAAACACATATACATAAATATTCACAGCCTTTGCTCAATACTTTGTTGAAGCACCTATAGCACCAATTACAGCCTCAAGTCGTTTTGAGTATGATGCTACAAGCTTGGCACACCTATTTTTGGCCAATTTCTCCCATTTTTCTTTGCAGTACCTCTCAAGCTCCATCAGATTGGATGGGGAGCGTCGGTGAACAGCCATTTTCACATCTCTCCAGAGATGTTCAATCGGGTTCAAGTCTTGGCTCTGGCTGGGCCACCCCAGGACATTCAGAGTTGGCCTGTAGCCACTCCTTTGTTATGTGAGTCATTGTCCTGTTGGAAGATGAACCGTCACCCCAGTCTAAGGTCCAGAGCGCTCTGGAACAGGTTTTCATCAAGGATGTACATTGCTTCGATCCTGACTTGTCTCCCAGTTCCTGCTGCTGAAAAATAACCCCACAGCATGATGCTGACACCACCACCATGCTTCATTGTAGGGATAGTATTGGCCAGGTGGTGAGCGGTGCCTGGTTTCCTCCAGACATGACGCTTGGCATTCAGGCCAAAAAGTTCAATCTTTTTTTCATCAGACCAGAGAGTTTTGTTTCTCATGGTCTGAAAGTCCCTCAGGTGCCTTTTAGCAAACTCCAGGAGGGCTGCCATTTGCCTTTTACTGAGGAGTGTCTTCTGTCTGGCCACTCTACCATACAGGCCTGATTGGTGGAGTGCTGCAGAGATGGTTGTTCTTCCGGAAGGTTCTCCTTTCTCCACAGAGATCGCTGGAGCTCTGTCAGAGTGACCATCTGGTGCTTGGTTACCTCCCTGGCTAAGGCCCTTCTCCCTCGATCGCTCATCTTGGCTGGGCGGCCCACTGTAGGAAGATTCCAGGTAGTTCCAAACTTCTTCCATTTACAGATGATGGAGGCCACTGTGCTCATTGGGACCTTCAATGCTGCAGAATGTTTTCTGTACCCTGCCCCAGATCTGTGCCTTGATACAATCCTGTCTCGGAGGTCTACGGACAATTCCTTGGACTTCATGGCTTGGTTTGTGCTCTGACATGCACTGTTAACTGTGGGACCTTATATAGATCAGTGGGAACAGGATGCACCAGAGCTTAATTTTGAGTGTCATGGCAAAGGCTGTCAATACTTATGTACATGTTTTTTTTTTTTTTTTTTTTAATTTTTAATAAATTGCGAAGATTTCAAAATGAACTTCTTTCACATTGTTATTATGGGGTATTGTCTGTAGAATGTTGAGAAGAAAAATGAATTGAATCCATTTTGGAATAAGGCTGTAACATAAAATGTGGCAAAAGTTAAGCGCTGTGGGTACTTTCTGGATGCACTGTACATTCCTTTTTAAAAATGAGTGATCCCCAGTGCCTGTAACTCAGGAATTGGGCACATCCACCAATCTGAACAGTGTTCTTGGCAAACTGTCAGTTTCACTGTAAGCCAGAGCTTTTCTTTACCACTACCACTACACATAACACAAAAATTCTATGCTGCTATGGGCAGCAGAGCCAATAACCACTCTGCTAGGCAGTGACAGTGCTTGTGTGTGATTTGCTTTTTTTTTTTTTTTTGACCGGTATCTCCTTTTTATTTACTCATTGGTTTCCAAGACCAGTGATTTGCTACTGCCACTTTAGGAAGGAAAAAAAAGCTGCTGACAGGTATGAAGTGTAGGCACCTAGAGATGCCCACACATGCCTGCAGTAGCTTTGTGCTCTTTTGAATGCTAGACCATTCTAATCAGCAAAGCTTTGGCACTCTTTGGCAATGTTAGCATCTGTAGTCTTATTCCCTCTGTAAGCTGTTCATCTTGCCAGTGCAGGACCTCCTGTCCTAGATTTAGAATGCTAACAAAAAGCAGGAGCGGAATTATCGCCTTTTGGCTTTACAGACTGCTTTTAGGCTAGTTTCACAAATGTGCCAGCATGCAGCCAATCGCCCGGCTTCTGTTCTGCCAGCCGGTGGCATTTAAACAGTGTGTGTTTATAGATTGGTGGGGAAAAGAGGCAGTATAGTGTGGTGATAGATGGATATTGAATTGCTCATTAAGTTATTTGTGTGTATTATTAGTTGTGTTCTAGATGTTTTTAGATTTAGTACCAATATTAGTGTAAATCTGTATTGCATTTAATCTATTGGTGTTCTTTATTATTCATGCATCATGGGGTAATGATACAGTTTGTGTAAATTATGAGTGTTCATGTGTCATCAAATATCAAACTGAATCTAAAAGTATTATAAACGTAATATGGTGCCACCTGGCCTCATCTGTGTGTTTTTTTTTTTTTTTTTTTTTTTTTTTTGACTGATTTGTTTTGTTGTTCATGCCTTAGTGTGAAACCTAAAATTTACATTCTAATATTTTTGATTTTCTAATTTTTTTTTAATTTAAAAATGTGTTGTATTTTCAGTAATCTATGCCAGCAATTATGACCATGTTAGCAGACCATGCAGCTCGACAGCTGCTGGATTTCAGCCAGAAGTTGGACATCAACCTTTTGGACAATGTTGTGAATTGCTTATACCACGGAGAAGGAGCTCAGGTAGTTATGTTTTGTTTATCAACCACAGCCTGCATATATTACACATACAAAATATATTGTTTTTCAGCTTTTAGCTGAAATACAAACCAGTTATGAACATGGAAGCTTCCTCTATCACGCAGTTGTCACGTGGACACCAATGGTAACATTTCTCTTCACTTGTCTTTTGATAACTGTGGGAAATACAAAGGACGGCTTGCTTGCTGTATATTAGGATTTTCTGAGTCCAACAATAACGTCACAGAGAGCAGTCTGGGCAACACTGGTCCTGTAATTTGCAATGCGCTACATCTGTGAGCTGTAGACAAGTGGGTACAGTTTGCCCCAGGCTTGCTGTTACAGAATGATATACTACCCCTTGTCTACAGTTTGTGGACAGGGTCAGTGCAGGTTACAGAATCAGCTGTACAAAAGGCTCCAAAAGACATGTTGTACAAAGGATAATGCTAGTCAGTCCTTATTGCTTCTTTGTAAGGTAGCACACAGGTACTTGGCATAGACCAGTTGTTTTCTTGTGTTCCCACAGATATCCTTAAACTCTTATTACCACTGCTGTAACTACAAGGGGCATTCAAGTCAAACTGGGACTTTTAGTTTTACAGATATAAAAAGGGATGCTAGTGTGGCGGTACTATACGCAGTAGTAAGTGGCAAGTTTATCCTATTACTGATAGGTGGTGCACATGTCGCGGGCCAGTCCAGAGTCCGTTAATCCTGATGGCAGACAACAGTGTTAGTGTGTGCATGGAGTAGGGTGATGAAGTTTCTTGTGAATGAAAGTGCAAATGCATGGATATTTACAGAAGACTTCAAGCACAGTGTGGTGAGGAGACGCTAAGCAGCAGTAAGACATTTGAATGGTATAAACGCTTGGCCGTACGTTCGTCAGTGACTATCCCGGCCATGGTGATTCCAGCCCACAGCAGTCAGTCATTCCTGCGAACATTCAGGGAGTGGAACGCCTGATCCTGGATAATCGACGCATAACCTTTAGTAAAATTGCACAAGAGCCGAGATCAATCTTTCTGTGGAAACTGAACACAAACATTTTTGAAAAGTTAGCGCACGCTGGGTACCAAGACAGCTTTCCACTTTTGACCGGCACAAAAGAGTTGAAGTCTGCACTGCGTTGAAGGAGCATTTTGACAGGGAAGATCAGTATTTTCTGGATTGCTAAGGGCATTCTATTTCTTTAGGACAACGCACGAGCTCGTACTGCTACATGCACATTACTGCAACTCTGCTGGGAGGTATTGCCACATCCTCCTTACAGGGCGGTCCTCGCTCCAAGTGATTTACACCTGTTTGGACACCTAAAAGAGTTTGTCGGAGGTCAGCATTTCAGTAATGATAACGAAGTGAAGCAGGCTGTTCTAGAATGGTTCAGGCGTACTAATCTTTCTATGACGAACCTTTCCTGGCATTAACGCTAGGCTAAGTGAATAAATGTAGCAGGGGAGTATGTAGAAAAATAAATGTAGTTCCCGCTCAAAAGTCCTGGTTTGACTTTAATGCCCCTTGTATTATGGCAGGGGCAGAAAGAGAGATTGTAAATAAGCTCATGGCTGCAATAACAGCCATGAGCTTATTTTTAAATTTTAGTGCTCACTCCTTTTATAGTAATAAAAGAGATCAAGAAGGTTTATAGCTGCCTGAAGTGGCTGATAAGGCCCCTAGTGGTACTAATAAATTGAAGTAAAAAAAAAACTTATTAGGCCTATTTAATACAGGGCAGACTCCGTTTTGATCAACAGGGAATCTGTCCTCTGATCAGAGCGAGTGAATGACAGGTCCATGTCTGCTCAGTTTATGCAGAGGGGACACAGATACAGCCCACTCTGCTCTATAGACAGCTGGGAGTAAACAGACTCCATGGTCTGTTTTTATACCAAAAACAACTCTCTGATCCAATCCACGTAGGTGCAGGGGGACAGATTCCCTTCAGTTATTTCAATGTATTAATTTTTTTTAATTTGGTTTGGAGGTAGGAGGGACACAAGTCGATTTTACACAGAGACCTTCCCATCAAGTCCACCTGAAAAAACTGACAGATGGACCTGACTGGACCCTTCATATGATGGGGACCTTTGAATATAATTTTTAATATAATAAAATAAATCCCCTAGGTCCTTGTTCATTCACAAACTGCTTTGTACCATTCACCGATTATCTCTTAACACCATCTTTGAAGGTCCATGAGAAGTAAAACTGTTTGGTAGTTAATATTTTAAATTTGTGGCAAATTTGTGTGTGACTGTATTTTTTTTTTCTTTATAGCAAAGAATGGCACAGGAAGTCCTGACCCACTTAAAAGAGCATCCTGATGCCTGGACAAGAGTTGACACAATTCTTGAGTTTTCACAGAATATGAACACCAAAGTAAGCACAGATGTATTCAGCTTGACTCACCCTCACACTTCTTGCCGCCCCCCCCCTTTTTTTTTTTTTTTTCTTTGTCTATGAACTTTGAGGAAAGCGTATCATCTGCCCTGTTGTATGTTGTTTTTTTTTTGGGTTTTTTTTTATAAAGAATAGTTACCCTTGCTGTATCTGTTGAAATAATAAAAACAGATCTATTCTTAATTTTAGTATAAATTGATAAAACAAAGTCGATTAAGTTGCTCATTGATATTTGTCACTCATGGAACTTCTGATTCTTAATTAGGGTTTAGGTCACGTGTAGAAAAGGGAAGTGTATTTTTAGTTAAACATCTAGCTTCCAGCTTAGTATTTCATGCATCCTGAATGGGGTAGGTGTTTGGAGCTTCCTCCTGGAAAAATCTGTAAAGTGAGAGAGCTCTTTTAATCATGTACTTTTCAGGAGGGCTGTGAGAGCTAGTCTATAATGTCTGCTGGGTAGATACCCCAAATATACTATATTTATAAGAACATAACTCTTTTGTACTAAATATACGTTATGATTGTTGAACGTTCAGTTTTTCTTTAACTGTGTAATTTGGCTGTCCCTGTTGCTTTGTTAACATACATGTGAAAGTTTTTTACCTGTTTTAAAATGTTAAATTGGAACGTAGGTATGCACTTTGAGTTTACTTTGACTAATAAGATATCTTGTTGACATCAGTTACTCAGTTTGGAAGTGTGAAATCTTTAGTGCACAGGTCTGTCTCCCATATAATCTGGTTTTGTTGTAATACATGCTAATGAAATGTATTACGAGCTTAGTAGACAAGTGGCTCGTAGATGCTTTAGGATTGGACACTTAGAAATTCTGGTCCTACATTTACTGAACATCCTCAAAGTGCTCACATTAGTAACAGTATTTGCTTGCCTGGTCATTTATTTGCTTATAAATACTGACAGTTATTACTAATGTTTAAGTTGATTTATCATCAACAGTACTTTTAAAAACTCAGTATTGTCTTGTGAAAAATTGACATGATTAGCGGAACAGAAAGAAAGCAACAGGTAAAGAACTCTTCAATTTACATAATCTGCAAATGATTTGGTGCTAAAATTTCTGCACTATTACATTTGGCTTTTATGCATTTTTTTTTTAAATATTTTTTTTAAGCTGTTAACGCTTCCTGATATTAATCATAATGTTCCATTATGTTGATTGCTTGTAATAGGAAGAAAAGGGGTGTCTTCCTGTGCAACTGACACAGCTAGGCTTTGACGGCAGGCCTCCACAAGGTCTACCCTTTTCATTCCCTTTAACTGAATTCTGTTCATCAATTGTATTTGTTTCATGGGTGGGTGTGGGTGGTTATGGGGTGGGGTTAAGAAAAAGATTTTATTAATATTGAGGGTACATAGGCACTTCTGCCACAGGGATCATTGATACTGATTTTATTTTTAAATGTATTCCATATTTGCTGTTGGAAGAGTTCATAATTCATATGCAATCCTTTTTAAGGTTTACTTGTGCAAAATCTTTTGCAGATATTGATTGTCAAATGTCTATATACATTTTTTTATTCTTTCTCGATAAAATTTTCATAATATAAAAGTTAAGACTATTGGCAGTCACATGCTTTTTCCTTCACTGTTTATCAACACTACAAATCTAGTCATGTGACAAATCTATACATGCTGCCAAGAGATGTGTGTATGCAAACACACTCAGGTAAATCTTGATAATCGTATAACAGCAGATTTAACTTTTTAAATCTCTTTATTTGACCAGCTGGTGATCCCTTTGGTTGAAGCTATATTGATCGACTTTGTTATACGACTAACCTTTTGTAGTAAAAAACTTTTATTCTGGGTCAAACTGTCTGTCTAAATGCATAGTTTGTAAATTTTACCTTTCAGGTATTGGTGTAGTAGTGCAATACATTTTAGTACCATGTAAAAGAGGCCACTAATTTAGATTGCCTAAATAATGGTATGTCTTTAAGCATATAAAATTTTTGTTGGCAAACTATTGAGATTCCAACAGCTTTTCTAGTTTGAAATAAATTAGTTGTTTGTTTCCTGGGAAGGGGGGGGTGGCCACATTTTACATATCTTTTTAGCAAATTAGCATTTGTGAGTGCAACTATCTTAATAAATATTTATCCATTTATTATATGAAATAGTACTGACTTGATGTGTTTTTTCTTTACGCCAAATATTCACTTCTTCGTAAGGAATATGCACTATATTGCCAAAAGTATTGGGACATCCCTCCAAATCATTAGATTCAGGTTTTGCAATTACCTCCATGGTCACAGGTGCATAAAATCAAGCACCTAGGAATGCTGACTGCTTCTACAAACATTTTTGAATGAATCTGTCACTCTCAGGAGCTCAGTGAATTCAAGCACAATACCGTGATAGGTTGCCACCTGTGCAATAAGTCCATCTGTGAAATTTCCTTGCTACTAAATATTCCATGGTCAACTGTCAGGGGTATTATAACAAAGTGGGAACAACAGCAACTTAGCCATGAAGTGGTAAGCCACAAAAAAAGGGAGAGCGGGGTCAGCGCATGCTGAAGCGCACAGTGTGCAGAAGACGCCTACTGTCTGCAGTCAATAGCTAAAGGCCTCCAAACTTCACATGGCCTTCAGATTAGCACAAAAGTACATAAAGAGCTTCATGGAATGAGTTTCCATGTCCAAGCAGCTGCATCCAAGCCTTGCATCACCAAGTGCAATGCAAAGCGTCTGATGAAGTGGTGTAAAGTACGCCACCATTGGACTGTAGAGCAGTGGAGACATGTTCTCTGGAGTGACGAATCACGCTTCTCTGTCTGACAGTCCGATGGACATGTATGGATTTAGCAGTTGCCAGCAGAACAATACTTGCCTGACTGTATTGTGCCAATTGTAAAGATTGATAGGGGGGAATTATAGTTTGGGGTTATTTTTCAGGGTTTGCGCTTGGCCCCTTAGTTCCAGTGAGGGGAACTCTTAAGTTGTCAGCATACCAAGACATTTTGGACAATTTAATTCTTCCAACTTTGTGGGAACAGTTTGGGGATGGCCCTTTCCTGTTCCAACATGACTGCGCATCAGTGCACAAAGCAAGGTCTATGAAGAGATGGATGAGCTAGTTTGGGGCGGAGGAACTTGTTCTGGCCTCAACCTGATGGAACACCTTTGGGATGAATTAGAGTGGAGCCTGCGAGCCAGGCCTTCACGTCCGACCTCCGTGCCTGACCTCACAAATGTGCTTCTGGAAGAATGGTCAAACATTCCCATAGACACACTCCTAAACCTTGTGGACAGCCTTCCCAGAAGAGTTTATAGCTGTTATAGCTGCAAAGGGTGGGCCACCTCTATACTGAACCCTACGAACGAAGGCTGGGATGCCATTAATTTTCATGTGCGTATAAGAGCAGGCGTCCCAATACTTTTGGCAATATAGTGTATCTTTGCTCTAGCTTTGGTATTCTTTTCTGTCAACGTAGCTGAGTTTACGCTGTTTAGCTTTTTTTATTTTATTTTTTATTAAGATGATCTGAATAAGTAGGGGATACTTAAAGCAGCACACCAAACAAAATACATTTATTCGCAAGGATCCATTCTAAACTGCTGAATAAAAATTACTTTAAAAAAGTGGAGAAGTTAATCTACTTGCCTGTCTCCCTGCTTCTGAGATTTTTCCCTCAAAATCTCGGGAGATGGTAAAAAATGGTAACATCCTCCTCACCTAGACATTGTGTCAGAGGGAGAAGGAAAGCAAACTAACCCCCCATGTTGTGCGTTTTTGTTTTGTTTTTTTGTGATGGATGAGGGGGCCCTCAAATAAGTCTGCTTTAAATGAGGTTTAGCATTGATGACATGGTTTTGACAGTCTTAATAACCTTACTTCCTGGACTTTTTAATATAGATAAGCTACAGTTCCTTTTTGTTAAAGTTGCTAATGAGAACACTTATAACTACTTTTGATTACAGCTTTTTTTTTTTCTTCTAGTAGTAGTTCTAGTGATGACTTTTCAATTGTGTTGGCAAAACAGGAAAAAAAAACTTGTGGAGATAGAGCTACAAAAGCTTGAGGGGCATACCCCAGGCCTGTTAGGATCCTTAAAGTGGAACGTTTGTTTCTATATATAAAATGTAAAAAAAGCAATAGCCTAGCGTTTAACGTATATGTGAACCCTCACTTTGCAAAACAAATAAAACAACCCCATTCAGTTTTTCCTGTTAACTTGGGGGGGCTTGTGGGAGGTTATATTTTACTGTAATTGTATGTGTATGTTTTTACAGCTTTTGGGGCCAGTTACAGCCTTTTTTGCAGTTTTTGTTTTTTGTGCTTGCCTTATAAAACGTAGAATAAAAAAAAAAAGAAATGCATATACAGAAACATATTGTAAATACTGGTTTCTTCTTTCCATATGTGATTACATAACCTCTGTTCTCAGCTGTATAAGGGCCTTGAAGATGGTGGGAGTGGAGACTGCAGGGGGGGGGGGGGGGGCGTGTTAGCAGGAGCTACAGAGCAATACACTGATCATAACATTGGAGACCTGTGTGGGGTCTGTCGGCGCAACTCTTGCCCTTGGACAGGCAGTCTGTGCTCCCCAAACTGACCACAGCTGGGAGGGATGTGCTTCCATGCCTAGTGTGATCAGTTTGTGTGAAATATCTGGTGTACCTGTCAGTCCCCCTGCTATCCCATTTCAAAGGAAGAAATGAAGAGAGAACTGGATAATTTTTTAACACAGGTTCATGATTCAGTATACACATCAGGAATATGAAATGTTGGGGTAACATACATTTTAAGGGCCAGTTCACACCACAAAAAACACACCCTAGATGCTTTTTTTGCTTATAGTTCACGCCACACTCTGTTACCATACGTTTTTGATGTTTTGCTGTGTTCCATTACAGTTCTGTGCAGAAAAAAATGCTGCATGTTCTGTTTTTTTTTTTTTTTTTTTTTTTTTTTTTTTTTTTTTTTCTGCATCGGAAATTGACTGCACTGGTGTGACACTGGAATACATGGAAAACACTGTGCATGCAATTTTTGTGCAGAAAAAAATCGTACTGGACTGCATATGGGGGGGGGGGAGGAGGCTTTTGCCGCAATACTCCTCTCCTTCCTAGCACTGTCTTCCACAAGTAGTCTGCTCAGCAGCTGGTCCTTTTGAGTTGAATGACTGATTCATTCAACATACTTCCTTTTTGGCCTAGTCTATCAGACACGTGTCTTGGGCCTATATCACCATGTCAGCCTGGACATGACAGTAGAATACTGCAAAAAGCCGTGCTGATTTCAGAACATCAGCAATGCTCAGTGGATTATTGAAGACTGCCTACTACCACCACAGAGACCACAGTACCTTGGGATGTCTCATGGCTGTCCAGAAGACTGGTATATCAAGGTACATATATGAGAGAGTCAACAAGTATGCTATGAAAGCATGTGCACATCAGGTGTGAGGGCAGTTGATATAGCCATTGCAGTAGCTCTTGATTTTCTGTCTTGACAGATTTTCTTTTAAAGCAAAGCAACAGCTTTTGCTTTGACCCCCCTTCCACAGCAGCACATACTAACTTGTCCTTGCTACTCTATCTGCTGGGAGCTAAGAAAATACCTGGCACTTGTGAGGGATCATGCAAAGGAACATGTAACTCTCCCCATGTGACTGTGCTGGATCAGTAACCAAGCACCAGTACTTTCACATGAGGAGTGCCTTTTAGCCCTGTGTAGGCTCATAGTTTTACATGAGACAGCTCTTCTTTCTTTGGGCAAAGTGTATGGTAATGTTTAATGATTTTTTTATTTTTTTTATTTTTAAAGTGAATATAAACCCTTGAATTAAGCCCACTGAAGTGACTAACCTCAAATGATACACAGTGATGAATGAAATCCTATACAGGGTGTACCTGTTTATCTGCAGTCTTCAGTCCTCCACATCCTTCCACATACATAGTGTAGACATGTCTCAGGTTTAAGGGGGCAGGGATCACACTTTGTGCATACACACACAGCTGTGTATAATCTGAGACCTGAGTGGAAGAACGTATACACTCCCCTCTACACAGTCTCACTACGAAACATGCACATCTAAAAACTGTCAATCACCTGCTGTGTGCTAGGGGTTCTCCGAGGATTGGCTGGTGTCTAAAACTGTCAGACATGACTAGTGGCTGACTGGCCATAGGACACACCAGGCAGTTGCCCGGTGGACCGGGGCTGCTTGTCCTTGTGGGGCCCAAAGCAGCTGTGGCAGCTGGGCTGCCTCTTGAGCTCACATCGCCCACCCAGCCTCTCCACGACCACCAATTCACTTCACAGCATGGTGGGCGGGTGGATACTAGAGGTCAGTTGATCAGTGGTCTCCTATTCACTTCACAGCATGGCTGGGGGGTGGAGACTAGGGGTCAACTGACCTGTGGCCAGCCTTTCCGTGACCGCCCATTCTTCCCCTGCACTGCCACTCAACCCCCCCTCCTCCCCTGCATTGCCACTCAACCCACACCCCCTGCACTACCACTGATCTTATCCCCCCACCAGCACTGCCACTCATTCCATCCTGCCATTGATCACCTTCCCACAGGTGCCACAAGTGGGGGGCAGTTCAGCCAGCCATAGAAATGAACGGCTGTACCCCCCCCCCCCCCCCCCCCTCCATGCTGTAATTGCTGATGCCACGTGCATTGGCGTTTACCCACGAATGCATGTGACATCTTTTCTGAACACTGAAGTTTTCATGTTTGAGAAATAAGATGCATGAAAGCATCAGGGACATACAGCCATTCGCTTCTATGGCCAGCTGTACGTCGGTAGCAGGAAAATTTGATGCTAGGAATGTTTTATGCATGCAGATGTCCATGTACATGTGGCCTTAAACATTTAAATATGAGATGCATCACTAGACTTCTTACTACAAAAAGTCTAAAAGGAGCAACCAACTTAGGCCTCATTCACACGGCTGTACAAAAAATGCATTTTAAGCATTTTTATTTACAGGTTTAAACGCAGCTGCATTGTTTTCTATGCAGACATTCACATAGATGCATAAGCATGCATTGCATTTGAATCTATAACACAAAATCCAAAAATCGGCTTCTGAGGAAATGCGTATGTGTTCTGGTATTGAAGAAAATAAGGCAATTTTATGTATTTAAAAAAACATCTAAAAGCCGGTATCATGTAATGCAGGAACGTTTGTTACAGGTGGCATTGGTAACCTTTTTACATCCATGTCACTGTAGCCTTAACCACTTCCCGTCCGGCCCATGTACATAAACGGCCAGCCGGGGAGCAGTGCAGGAGTGGGTGGCCGTTTATAAACGTCCTCCTGCATTCTCTGCCTGTGCGCGCTCCGGATCGCTGTACGGGGCCTTTGTTTGATGTCCCAATCATTTGATCACTGATTGGCCAATCAGTGATCACATGAATAGTAGTAAGCAAGATGTCACTTGCTGACATTGTTTACTACTAGTGAAATCTGTGAATGATCACAGAGGTCACATGGTACAAGGCTATTCACAACAGCTTTGTATCATGTGGCAAGCTGTGACCAATCACAGCTCTCACAGTATTTCTCATTGGCTGCAAGAATGCAGCCCAGAGAGAAGGAGAAATGATTGCTTTTACACCCATAAAGGCTGTAAAAGCAAGCGGGTGTAAAAAAATCTTCATCACCCCCCCCCACAAGTAGTACAGTGTCACTATGGTGACACTGTACTGCTAGGGTGACAGTATGTTAAAAAAAAAAACAAATATATAAAAAATTTAAATGTAAATTTTTTTTTTTTTTCTAAAATTATTAATTTTTGGTTAACTAATCTTGGGTTGGGTTTTTTTTTTTTTTTTCCTTTACTAAAAAGATAGCTGAATACATTTTGGCCAAGATTTATGAAGAAAGATTATTTGCTAAATTTTATAAGAAAATCCCTTTTTGAAAAAGAAAAAAAAAAAAAAAATGTTTAGACATTTTCATTTATATAGCAAAAAAATAAAAATCCCAGTGGTGAATAAATACCACCAAAATAAAGTTTTGTCCGTCTCAAAAAAAAATGCTAAAAAAAATTCATATGGGTACAGTGTTGCATGACCGCGCAATTGTCATGGCACTGAAAGCTGAAAATTGGCCTGGGCAGGGAGGGGGTGAAAGTGTCTGGACTTGAAGTGGTTAATCTGGGTTCACATTAGCATGGGAATGCATGTATATCCCATGCATTCCCACATCTGCACACAAAAAAAATGTTGTTTGAAAGAGGGCATACACACAGCAGCCCATTCAAATGAATGGACCGCTGTGCACGCGCAAATGTGGCACACAGAACCGCATTAATGTGAACCTAGCCTAAAATTAGGTCCAGTATTTTTTTTTTTTTTTATTCATAACTTGTGTGTGTGTACATATAAATATATATATATATATACATATTTTTTTTTTAAAGAGGTTTGTTTGCTTGTTCATATTAAAATACCTGAAAGGTAAATTTTGTTAAGAGAAAATGCAGTCTTTTGACAGAGTATAAAAGTTACGTTAAAAGTTAGTTTAAATATTACATATACTATGGGCTTGTTAAGGGGGAGGGTTGGAATTTAGTTCATTTATAGGATTCCTTGCTGAACTTCATTCACACCAGAAAATACTGTTGCCATTGGCAGCATTTGCTCTTGAGGAAAATTGAAATTTGTTTTTTTTTTTTCTTTTTCTTTCTTTCTTTTTTTCTTTTAGTTTATGCTATACTAGCACCTGTTTCTGCATTTATAAATTCTTGTTTGTTGTATGTGACGTTTTCTTTCTATCAACAGCATAGCTTCAGCTATGCTTTTTTTTTTTTTTTTTTCCTGGTGTGAGCATGATCAAATGGCAGGGATACTAGTGTATATTAAGAACTGTAATTGTGCATGAAAACTCATGGGATTGTAGCTAAATTATATGTTTAGTAAAACTGTCTTAAATGTACAGGTGTGAATGAGCTGGTTGTGTGATTGTGAGTGCTTTACAATATCTGTAATCCTAAAATACTTACTCGGTTCTCTTCTCCAATTTTAGTACTATGGTCTGCAGATATTGGAAAATGTGATCAAAACAAGGTGGAAAATTCTTCCTCGGAATCAATGTGAAGGTAATTTCTTGTTTTATGTTTTGGCAACTTTTTATAGGACAAATGTGTGATCGTTAATGAATTAACGATACATGTATTATTTGTTATGTTTGTATTTTGTATATAAAGAGGAGTATTTTGGAACAATTGTGTTTTTTTATTCATCTCATATCTTTCAACTAATGTTTTTAATGTCAAAATTAAAGGTATAAAGAAATATGTTGTTGGACTGATCATCAAGACTTCTTCAGATGCAACATGTGTAGAGGCAAGTACCAGGTTTTGTTTGCATTAATGTAGTGTCATTGTTAAAAGTTTCAGAAGTAATGTGATTGCTTCTCTTTCAGAAAGAAAACGTGTACATTGGGAAGCTAAATATGATTCTTGTCCAGGTATGTGTGGTTTAAAAAAATACTAATGTATGTTTATCACTCATGTAGAAATAGACTAGTTTGCGTTGTCTACTATTGAAGCTATATCTGTATTGTCTTTTCAATACCAATTTTCTCATCATACTAATGTGTTTTAGAATATTATGAGAATCCGTTATCTTAAAGTGGTTGTTAACTCTTACATATACCCAATGAAGTGACTAGGATCAAGTGATGCACAGAGATCAAAACAAATCCGTCTGCACACGTTGAACCTCTTTATCTGCAGTCTTCTCTTCTCTACATCCATTCAAGGTCCAGAATTTAGAAAGCCTGTCTTGGCTGTCAAAAGCCAGGGGGAGGATAGCTGATATTACATAGTGCAGAGCTTAGTGAGGAGAGCTGATTGGAGGGAATGGAAACACCCCCCTTCATGCGGAAACAGAGCTAAGGCTGTCAATCTCAGGTTGTGTGCTGGAAATACCTCCCCTGTCACTTTATTTTTTTCTAATGCGAATAGCAGAGGAACTGGGCAGCCAACAGAAATGCAATTTGGTGCTCTGAATTGAGACAAGTACAGACTATAGAGGGAAATGCTTTATTCATATTTCATGTCTGAGGTTTTACAACCATTTTAATTGTACAGTACAGGACACAGGCATAATATTCATAGATCCTGGGTTATAGGTGAAGGTACCTTCAGGTGATTGGGCACTGGTATAGCTTTTGAGGAGACATCCATTGGACATCCCCTAATAATTCTGTCCATTATGTGAGTTTTTCGCTAGTGTCCAAAGGTGATGGTACTCCCTTGCAGAGAAATCACTCTTAGCTTGCCTATTTAACTTATGATTCTTTAATCAACTCGTCACTGTTTTCTAATACAACAATTGAGACAGCACTTCTTGATCTGTGTAAGCTCTGTAAAGCCTTGGGGAGCTGTCCCTGTCCCTACACTGAAGACAGCCTGTAATGTTGCTTTAGGCCCTGGATCCTGCTTGGGAGCTAGCCCTTGCATTTGGCACAACTCATTTACAGAGTGCTCCCCAGGGCCATGGTTCGTTCCTATGAAACCCAGACCCTTTTTGGGGCATGCCCAGTCTTCCAGCCAAGCCTGAAACCATATACAGGAACCAGCAACATGGACAATTAAGACAGGGTCGCCCTGTTTACTGCTCTATTTCTGTATACCCATAGCAAGTATAAAGATTTAATATCTGTTACTTCCTTTACACTTGTGTGTATCCTGAATAGTATTCTAAGTATGTTAAAACTATCAGGAAACTGGGAATGTGTTTGAAACTTACTCACTGTTAATTTTTTTCAAACTTGGCGCTAAAATTCCATCATTCAGAGTTTTGTCTCAAGTGGATGACTAGGTGTTATAGAACACCACTAGTTGCACATTTTACCTACTTGCTCTCCAGAGGATTTACCCCCCTTCCTGTCCAGGCCATTTTTTGCATTGCGGTCCTGCGTTACTTTAACTGATTATTGCGTGGTCATGCAACGCTGCACCCAAAATAAATTTACACACTTTTTTCCCACAAATAGCTTTTTTTCTGTGGTATTTGATCGCCTATGCAGTTTTTATTTTTTGCGCTATTAAATAAAAAAAAGACTGATCAATTTTGAGAGAGAAACTATTTTTGACTTTTTGCTATTAAACATGTCCAAAAAAAATCAAATTTCGTCATCAATTTAGGTCAAAATGTATTCTGCTACATGTCTTTGCTAAAAAAAAAAAAAAATCCCAATACGTGTAAATTAATTGGTTTACATGAAAGTTATAGCATTTACAAATGGCGATATATATACTGGGCTTTTTCTTTTTTATACTAGCAATGGTGGCAATCAGCAACTTATAGTGGGACTGCAGCAGGCATTCTGACACTGAGGGGATCTGACTTTGTGTCACTGACCTCCCCAGTGACACCAATACAGTGATCAGTGCTAATAAAAAGCACTGACACTGTACTGATGGCACTGGAATGAAGGGGTTAACATCTGGGGTGATCAAAGGGTTAATTGTGTGCTGTGTGCCGTTTTACATGTTGTTCTGTGTTTGTGCTTCACTGTAAGCACACTGCTTTGCATGGCTGTGCTGTGCACAGCCATGCAAAGCAGTGTGTGCGCGAGCTGACAGGGAGGAGACTGTTTTGTTTACTAACCGTTCCCCCCCCCCCCCCCCATCGGATATTCTCATAATCGCAAGCGGAGACCCGGAGACTGATGGCGGCCCAGATAGTGCGTGCGAGCCCCGTTGCCAGGAAATGCTAAATCACATATATATACACGTGATTTTGCACTCCACTGCCACCCTGTAGCAGTATTTCTGCTATGGGGCAGCGCTAAAGCAGTTAACACCACTTCGTCGTGAGACTTTTTTTTTTCTTTAGGTACTTGGGTGCTTCCTCCCGCCATTTTTCTAGGAGGACTTTGCTGGAGAATGGTAGATGGCCAGATTTCTGTATACTCCTTCAGGGATGTTTACCCCATTTCCTCACCCTGCTCGGTGAGTACATCGCATAGGAATACCCTCACTGATGGCAACAGTGGAAACCAGGTGCAAGGGAACCATGGCAAACTTCAGGCAAACTCTCAGCTGAGGGCTTGCAAAACATTTAAACCATTCTGAGTGACAATGCTTCCCTTGCATCGGATCAGGACCCTATTTTAACACAGATCTCTGCATCTGATTCTAGCTTAATTTCAGGCATGCAACAAGTGGCCTACCTAACTAAGGCTGACTTTCCTGCAACAATGTCACGATTTCTTGAACAAGTAATGGCTTTAATGTAGCCATCACTGTCCAGGACTCAAAAGCTCCAGGCTCCTTCTCCACCCCCAGCTTGTCTACCAGAGTCAGAAAGTGAAATGACTCTTCCAGAGGATACAGACATTGAAGGTTCTGAAGAGAACATGGAGTTAATGTTAGAAGAGGACACTGAATATTCCTCACCCCCAGACTTCTATATGCCTGTTACAGCGTCACACAGTTTGCTTGCCAGTGTTGATATGCTCACTTGTGTTGTGCACAAAAGCCTTGGCATTGTCTCACCTGATTCTCCATCTCTCAATGCTCCTTTTGGGTACGAAGAGACCTGCTAAGTTTAAAAAGACATTCCCCTGATGTCTCTGTCTTGAACCTTTTACTGTACTCATTAAAGATGTTTCTCCCCTCAAAGATTCTGCTTACAGAAAACTTGCGACATTCTCAAAGGCTCTTTATTCTCGCAGACCTTGCTATACAGCCAGCTATCCTGCAATTTTTCAAACCACTGCTAATTGGACTAGGGCAATAAACACCCAATACGATCCTGTCTGCCAGGGCTTTGCTTTGGCAGAGCACGTAAAACATTTTCCTCTGCTTTGATTTTGGTGTGGATGTCCTAGAACAAGTCATAACCCAAACCTCCAGAATGGCTCTGATTTCTGTCCATATGCGCTGATTCTAAAAGCCTGGACAGCTCAAGCTGCAAATAAAAGATGCCTCATGCATATAATGCCCTTTAAAGGAAAAAGACTCCTTAGTGAGGCACTTGACGAATTCATCAAAGGTAGCACGTAAGGGGAAAGTTCCTTTTTTACAGTGGAAGGTTTAAAAATTTACTGTTGGCAAGGTTTTGTTTGCCTTGTTGTTACCCCCTCCCATTCATTGCTTGGGAACATCCTATGAACATCAAACCTGTCCTGTACTGTACAATTCAGATAAAAGGGATTTGGATCTGTTTGTAAATCTTGGCGTGCAGGACACCACCCTCCCACTCTTTCTGTGTTACTCTGCATTGCTTGCCAGAAAACGCAGAACTCAAAGTGGGTAAGATTATAGGGGGCCACCCAGTGGGTGTCTAATCACCCGAAGGTGCTAGCTCAGATTCTTTAAACATCAAGCCTGTGTCCTTTTTCTGTTATCCAAGATAAGGAATTTACAGGTAAGGTGTTTTTTTTTTTTTTTTTGTTTTTTTTTTTTTGTGTATGTGTAAAGAAACTGTAATACTTTTTATTCTGTCCCTTAAAGACCCACTGATGGGAATTTACTAAACCTGGAGCAGCTGTGCATGGTTACCAGTCTACTTCTAGCTTACGTTTTCAAAGCTTTACTGAACTTGCTGAGGCTAAATGCTAGTTGGTTATAATGTAACACTGCTCCAGATTCTGTCTGCTCTAGTTGATTTCCCAGATTGTGAGATCTCTAAAAGGAACTGTTCCGTTTTACATGGGGTACAACAAACTTTGGTATGGAGAAGTTGTACAATGAAGCAATAATTTATCATGAAACCCTATAGTTAATTACTTTAGTTAATGTTTTTCTTTTAACAATCAACAGTTGTCAGTGTCATAAATGAACATAAATCTGTATGTCTGTGAGCAAACCTGTAACCATTTGTCGCACCACCAAATTATTTTCATGTCTTTCCAGATACTGAAGCAAGAATGGCCCAAACACTGGCCTACATTCATCAGTGACATTGTAGGAGCCAGTAAAACTAGTGAGAGCCTTTGTCAGAATAACATGGTGATTTTAAAACTTTTAAGTGAAGAAGTTTTTGACTTTTCTAGTGGACAGATTACACAAGTGAAAGCCAAACATTTGAAAGACAGGTATGCATATGATGGACATGTTATTCTTAATTTGGAATAAATGGCATGTTTGACAGTTTTTTTTTTTTTTTTTTTCTTATTTTCAATTTTTTACTTTGATCCTGAGATCTTATTTTTGTTAAATCGTAAAGCCCAACTCCATAATTGTCGTATCACCTCCTTCCACCCCCCTCTAACTATCCCTTAGGCTGCATTCACACTTGAGTTTTGTAGTTTGAATCTCCAAAAAAGCTCAAACTTAAAAAAATCAATTGTTCTCTGTAGTGCCTGTTCACACCTGATCCCGAACAGGCACTATAGAGAACAATTGATTTTTTTTTTTTTTTTAAGTTTGAGCGTTTTTGGAGCTTCAAGCTACAAAACACTCAAGTGTGAATGCAGCCTGAGTATGTGGGGGGGGGGACTTCTTTTCAAATACCTATTCTGCTTACCTAAAGCTGCAATCGTGATGCTCCTGGCTTAATCTTTTGCTTACTGACGGGTCGTTCTTTTGGGTGTTCACATTACTACTTGCATTATGTGGACACCACCTATTGGTGGAGGTGACACTTGTAGTAGTGGGCGGGGGGTTCTGTTATATGCTCTAGAGGCAAGATAACTCATGGATGTGATGAGGGTACTGGTTCCGAAGATTATAATGATTGAGGGGAAAAATGGACCAAAGTTTAGAAATTAGCTTGGCTTTTTGAGGATAATAGTGGCTTTGATCCGTTTTTACTGCAGGATGGCTTAGCAATAGGCGTTTGTATCAAAACTGGGGAAGTAAGGTAATTGATGCACAATGTAGTATTTAAACTTTTTTTTTTTTTTTTTTTGCCTGCTGTCGGGTTTTAACTCTAGGCAAACCATTAATACATAGTGGAATATGTATCAAAATGTTTTGCCTAGCAAATGTTTTATTTCTGTTAGATTTAAAAGGCAAAAACAGATTTATTTAAACAATGCCTACAGCTAAAAGGCAATATAAAAACACTAGGAAGATTTTTCAGTGATTTAACAAAATATTAATGTAATTGTTCTGTAAAATGTATACCCTTGGCCTTAGAAGAAATGACTGTGTAGTTTTGCATAATTGCCCACCTGTCTCGAACGTTGACTGGGTGAATATTTTCATTACTTCTAGATGCAAAGTTTCTTTAGCTTTGGTTCACACTAGAATGCGATGCAGGAAACCCAAATTTGTGAGCGTTTCCTGCACCACGTTCACATCGCACTGCTCTTGTGTTCTGTAGTGGGTGTCTGCGCAGCCTTAAAGTGGAAGTAAAGTCCACTTTTTAAGTTGTACCTACAGGTAAGCCTATATTAAGGATTACCTGTAGGTACAATGTATATCTCCTAAACGTGCACAGTTTAGGAGACATTCAAATACCATGCAGTTGGTGATGTCAACGGCGCATGAGCTTTGAAGTGACGGCACAGCATGCTGTCCCTTCAGAGCACTGTGTCGCAGCCAAGGGCTCGCGCGCGCATGTGTGGGAGTGTGATGTGTTCATGGCTCCAGCTATTCATACTGCCGGAGCCCACGAACCCAGAAGGAAGATATTTGCGTCAGGGAGTCGTGACAGCGCGGTGCTGGAGGGCTCAGTGTACAGGTAAGTCTGTCATAATATACTAGTATGCGGTGCATACTAGTAAATTATGACACAACACTGCAGGGGGCCCATTATTTGTTTTTTTGTTTGGTTTTTTTTTGCGGGTGGGTTGCTACCGCTTTAACAACACTGCAAATGCAGTGCATTTGCCTGTACCGGATCGCATGGTACAAAACTATTCAATCCGGTTGCAGTGCGGTTCCAGAATTGGTGCATCCCCGAATTTCATTTGATGCATTGTGATTTGAGCCCATTCAAAATGAATGGGCCCAAATTGCACTGCACTGAATCGCATGTGAATTGCAAAGTAATACGGTGCAGTTCCTGTTCGATTCATAGAGTTTCGGTTCATAGCGGTTCATTTGTAACATGTTACAACCTGAATATCGGTGTAGCATTTTACAAAAGGTAAACATGACCTGTAAAGGCAGTCTAGTTGTGGCCTAATGTTTTTATGTACAGCAAAGACTTTTTCCTGGCAGTAAACTAATTTACAGATGGCATAGATTTTTCCTACTACTGAAAATTTGTCCAGGAACAGATTATTCTCCTTTTCATTGGAATGATTGATTTCAAATCATTTTGATATTTTTAATTGACCTTGCCACTCAGACATCCAAAACTTTCTTTTTGAGATGCTTGGAAAGCTCTATTGATCCTGTTATAACATGACACGCGTCAATAGCAAAGAGAACACCAGACTAGGGATACGCGACATCGGTATCAGTGACAATACTTGGTATTTTCATGAGCACTCGTACGCGTGAAAATACTACCCATACCTTAACCGGTACTTTGCTGTGTGATTTGTGCTAATTGACACCAGTTGCACTGCAAAGATTGCTATGCGATTTGAACAGGAATGCGATTCCTGTCCAATCGCATGCGGTTTCCCTACTGCTCTTGTGTGAATCTAGGCTTGTCATAGCCAGAGTTCACACAGGAGCAGTGCGGGAAACCTCCCTACAGGCATCCCATGCTTAGTGTCAGTGCTAGAAGAGGAGAGAAATTGGTGGGGATTTGAAATCCACACCACTTTCTTTCCTCCCCTTGCAGCAATTGACAGTTCAGGCTAGATGGCATCTGATTGACCAGCAGTATCAGTGCATCTCTACACCAGACCCTAGATATGCAAGATTTAAATAAGATAGGTTCCGCCTGCATACCCCCTAGGGAGGTTCTAATCATTGGTGCCTAATCTGAGACATTCGATTTTGATTTCATGGGCTTAAAGGCCTAGTTTACTTTTTGTTGAAAAAATAATAAATGCACACGATTTTTGTAGGTAAAAACAAACGGTAGCAGACAGGGCTTGTAGTTTATTCATGTGCAGATTACTGTGAATGAATGATGTGGCTTTTTGGGTAGAGCCCCACACAACTGCTCTGATTTTAATTTGAGATAGAAGGTGCGGGGAGACTATCTCCCACCCGCTGTCACAATGGGGGATTGGGGGGAATGCCTGCTGCATTAGTAACATGTTACACCTGTACTAAAGGAGAGCTCATCCTTTAACTTTGTGGTAAAATGTAGCAATGTAATCTTCCACATGATCTTATTTTCATTCATTTAGATTGAGAATAAATAACAGCATATCCATTTTATGCATCTTTTGTTCAAGTATATCATCACCTTTATCTGTAGACACTGTTTAAATGAGCATCCGTTTGTCTGCTCACATATATTGAAGAAGTCAACAATTTCCACAGGGTGTACTTTCACATGACGGTTTATATTCCCATACAATCCTTTTTTTTTTTTTTAAACCACTTGCAATCCCGTAGGCCCTGAGCTTGGTATCATTATTTTTTTTTTTCTCAGTAAAAGTGATTTGGACATCTGTAGAGCCGCATGATCGTTTTTACTGCACTGTGAAGTGATTGTATTGTATTAGATCACAATGTTCTCTGCTGACTTCTCCAAATCTAGATGTAGGGAAGGGTTGAGCAGTTTGGGGCACTTTTCTTTATTTTTTTTTAGCAGGTATGGGACACTGACAGATTAAATTTATTCCACATGGTAGAGTTGACCTCTGTGTACGTTCTGTGTAAGTTTGCTATACAAATGGTCTGGGTTTTTTTCTTTTTTTGCAGCATGTGTAATGAGTTCTCAAAGATATTTCAGCTCTGTCAATTCGTCATGGTAAGTATACATTAATGTGTGTTCTTTTACATAAGATGCAGTTGAATGTTATTTTAATGAGGCTAGTCTACACTGTGTACACACGTTTTGGTGTTTTTGCGTGTTTACATATGAAAAAATGTACCATGCTGTATTTTTTTTTACTTTCTTTTTAACATGCCTGCTAATCGGAGATATACACTAAAACCTCTGAGCTGCTTTAAACACTCCCAACTTCAATATTGGACCAGAGGTGCTCCCACTATCTTGTGATTCACACAATAATACAGCCTTACAGATATTAGTACAGCGCTCTTACCAAACACACCACTTTTTCAAAGTGCAACAAAACTCACCCAAAATAAATTTTAACTTGATAGAGGTATACGGTGCCTTGAAAAAGTATTCATACCCCTTGAAATTTTTCGCATTATCCAGTAACAACCAAAAACGTAAATGTTTTTTATTGGGATTTTGTAATAGACCAACACAAAGTGGCACATAACTGTGAAGTGGAAGGATAATGATAAATGGTTTTCAAATTTACAAATAGTTGAAAAGTGTGGCATGCATTTGAGTTCAGCCCCCCTGAGTATTTTGTAGAACCACTTTTTGCTGCAATTACAGCTGCAAGTCTTTTTGGGGATGTCTCTACCAGCTTCACACATCTAGAGAGTGACATTTTTGCCCATTCTTCTTTGCAAAATAGCTCAAGCTCTGTCAGATTGGATGGAGAGTGTCTGTGAACAGCAATTTTCAAGTCTTGCTACAGATTCTCAATTGGATTTAGGTCTAGGCTTTGATTAGGCCATTCTAACACGAGTATGCTTTGATCTAAACCATTCCATTGTAGCTCTGGCTGTTTAGGGTCATTGTCCTGCTGGAAGGTGAACCTCTGTCCCAGTCTCAACTCTTTTGCAAACTCTTAACAGGTTTTCTTCTAAGATTACCCTGTATTTGGCTCCATCCATCTTCCCATCAACTCTGACCAGCTTCCCAGTCGCTACTGAAGAAAAGCATCCCCACAACATGATGCTGCCACCACCATGTTTCACGGTGGGGATGGTTTGTTCAGGGTGATGTGCAGTTAGTTTTCTGCCACACGTAGTGTTTTTTGCTTTTAGGTCATAAAGTTCAATTTTGGTCTCTTCTGACCAGAGCACCTTCTTCCACATATTTGCCGTTTGCGAGAAACCATGTTTGGGACACAGCAAACGGGACTTCTTATGGCTTTCATCTTGCCACTCTTCAATAAAGGCCATATTTGTGGAGTACATGACTAATAGTTGTCCTGTGAACAGAATCTCCCACCTGAGCTGTGGATCTCTGTGGCTCCTTCAGAGTTACTATCTTTGGCCGCTTCTCTGATTAATGTTGTCCTTGCCTGGCCTGTCCGTTTAGGTGGATGGCCATGTCTTGGTAGGTTTTCAGTTGTGCCATACTCTTTCCCTTTTCGGATGATGGATTGAACAGTGCTCCGTGAGATGTTGAAAGCTTGAGATTTTTTTTTTTATAACCTAACCTTGATTTAAACGTCTCCACAATTTTATCCCTGACCTGTCTGGTGTGTTCCTTAGCCTTTCATGATGCTGTTTGTTCTTTAATGTTCTCTAACAAACCTCTGAGGGCTTCACAAAACAGCTGTACATAGTAAAAAAATCCAGTACAGAAGAAAAACAAATGAAAGTGCCTGTCCACAGTCTTAACTGTGTAAAACTTCCCTCTCCTTCTGAGCAGACTGTTGCCAACAGCTCATTGGATACAGAGCCCCTTAGGCAAAACAAGACTATAGTGCTCTCCATTTTAACGAATTAAAATGGCATAAAAACACTCACATAAACAGGGAATCAATCAGCTTCTCATACAAGTCTGTAGAATTCAGTTTCCTTAGTAGAACAGCATGGACTCAATGGCCCCACCCAGCATGCTGATGTTGAAAGACACCCCTATCTGACATGTTGCTTCCTGATTGGACTTCATCGGAAATGTATGAGACCCTTTTACTTAAAGGTGATAGCACTGGTGGAAGTATTACTGTTTGGATTGTAGACAAGCACTGTAATTTTTTTTTTCTGTACTGGATTGCACTAGATATTATGTAATATTCTTTTATATTTTAGACTGGGTGAGTTTTTTTTGCAGTTTGGTACAGTGGTCTGTTTAGTAAAACCATAATATACACTGCTCAAAAAAATTAAAGGAACATTTTGAAAATACATCAGATCTCAATGAAGAAAAATATTATGCTGGGTATCTATACTGATATGGACTGGGTAATGTGTTCGGAACGAAAGGATGCCCCATCGTTTGATGGAAATGAAAATTATCAACCTACAGAGGACTGCATTCAAAGACACCCCAAAAATCAAAGTGAACAAATGATGAAGCAGGCTAGTCCATTTTGCTGAAATTTCATTGCAGCAACTCAAAATGGTCCTCAGTAGTTTGTATGGCCCCCATGTGCTTGTATGCATGCCTGACAACGTCGGGGCATGCTTCTAATGAGACCATGGATGGTGTCCTGGGGTATTTCCTCCTAGATCTGGACCAGGGCATCATTAAGCTCCTGGACAGTCTGGGGTGCAACCTGGCGGCGTCGGATGGACCGAAACATGATGATATCCCAGAGGTGTCCCAGACCCACTTCATCAGCGTAGGGTCTGACAATTGATCCAATTATTTCATTCCGATACCTAATGGCAGTCAGGGTGCCATTGTCTAGCCTGGAGAGGTCAGTGTGTCCCTCCATGGATATGCCTCCCCAGACCATCACTGACCCACCTCCAAAACTGTCATGCTGAACGATGTTACAGGCAGCATAAGTTCTCCACGGCTTCTCCAGACCCTTTCACGTCTGTCACCTGCTCAAGGTGAACCTGCTCTCATCTCTAAAGCACAGGGCACCAGTGGCAGACCTGCCAATTCATTGGCAAACGCCAATCAAGCTCTATGGTGCTGGGCAGTGAGCACAGGGCCCACTAGAGGATGTCGGGCCGTCAGGCCACCCTCCATGAAGTCTGTTTCTGATTGCTTGGTCAGAGACATTTACACCAGTGGCCTGCTGAAGGTCATTTTGTAGGGCACTGACGGTGCTTATCCTGTTCCTCCTTGCACATTGATGTGCCACCCTGGAGGAGTTGGACTGCCTGTGCAACCTCCTGTAGGGTCCAGGTATCCCTCATGCGATCAGTAGTGACACTGACCCTACCCAAATCCAAAACTAGTGAAAAACAGTCAGAAAAGATGAGTAAGGAACAAAAATGTCAGTGGCCTCCACCTGTAAAACCATTCCTGTTTTGAGGGTTGTCTCATTGATGCTCATCTAGTGCACCTATTAATTTCATTAACACCAAAGCAGCTCTCAAAACTGATTAACAAACCCCTCTGCTACTTAACCGACCAGATCCATATTCCAGGAGTTATTTAACTTGATGCTATACTCCTGATTAAAAAGTGTTCCTTTAATTTTTTTTGCAGTGTTTTTGTAAAATACATTATATTGGAACACGTTGATTGTTCTGTAAACAAGCCTGTGATTGTACAGTAGAGGACACAGACTTGCTAATTGTATGAGATGCTGCAAAACATACAGTTGTCCTTTGCCTTTAATTACTCCTTATATTTGTAAAAATGTATTTAATAGTGCTATGCTCCGCTTTCTATTTACTTTTCTAGTTATGACTTATGATAAATAAGCTTACAGACCAATGCCAAAACTTTTTTTCCTGTTAGTGTCATAAGCAATTGCTCATTAGTACTGTTTTTTTTTGTTTGCGTGTTTTTTGTTTAGTTTTATTCACATTTCCAGTATGTCTTTAAAAATATTTTTATTTTTTTAATTTTAAATTTGTTTTTTCTTAACCTTTACAAAGGAAAACTCCCAAAATGCTCCACTTGTCCATGCAACTTTGGAAACACTTCTCAGATTTCTTAACTGGATTCCATTGGGATATATATTTGAGACTAAACTGATAAGCACATTAATTTATAAGGTATAGTGCTTAGTTTGCATGCTGTAATAGTGTGTGTATATATGTGTGTCTGTTTTCCATCAGTGGCAAAGTATGCCTATGTTTTGTTTTTGTTTTTCTTTCCAGTTCTTAAATGTTCCAATGTTCCGAAATGTGTCTTTAAAATGTCTCACTGAAATAGCTGGAGTTAGTGTCAGCCAGTACGAGGAGCAGTTTGTAACACTCTTCACTTTGACAATGATGCAACTAAAGCAGGTAAGCCGTGTGTGTATTTAATATATATTTTAAAAAAAAAATTAGTTATCGCTCATCCCAAAGACGCTCAAGTGATGGATTAACTCTGACCTACAAAACCGAATACAGTACTAGGTCTTATTATAATTGATTACATTTACTTTACATAATTGAAGTACAATGTAGGTAAATATTCCAGATCCCAATAAAGCCTGTTTGATTAGGGCAAATTCACACTAGTGCGTTGATTCGCGTTCTAGTGCAGCTGTAAAACACAGATCAGCGCAAGGACACCTTCAAAATAATTGTCCTGTTAACACCACAATGCTGCGGTGACCTGTGTTGCATTAAAATGCAACATGTATGCCTTTTAGCACAACGCAGGTAAACGTATGTAAAATGCACCTAAAATGGATGGAAATGTACATTTGCCGTACATTTTAGCGTGACTAGTGTGAATTAAACTTTTTAAAGTGGTTGTGCAAGGTGGTCGGTAGCTGCCTCTGGAAATCGATTTCAATGAATACTGTTTCTAGTATTTAAATGTATAAACACTGTTTACTTTCATTTTTTGTATAGATGCTGCCTCTGAACACAAATATTCGTCTTGCATATGCCAATGGGAAAGATGATGAGCAGAACTTTATTCAGAACCTCAGCTTGTTCCTATGTACTTTTCTTAAAGAACATGGACAACTTGTAGAAAAGAGGCTGAACCTGAGAGAAACTCTGATGGAGGTGAATTGGTTTCATTAATCTACCACTAAATCTGTAGATGTTATCAAATCCAGTGTATGTAGGGTATGCTGAATATGTTTGATGTATTTGAAGATTGAATGCTAGTTGCAAATTGATAGGGGAGTTTGTGTGAAGGTCCTGGAAAGGTAGTTATTTTTAGTATATTTGTGCAGTCGTACTTTTTTTATTTATATATGCCCTCCCTACAGTTGTTTGGTTTATGCCTTTTTTACATTTATAGTCCCCCCATCCATTGTCAAATAATAGCCCTTCAGTGAAGATGAATGTAAGCAATGGGTCTGTGTTATTTCTGTCTGGTAATGTTTGTTTATAGTTGAACTGTGGCTAGGTTATGAACCTTCAAATATTTATATATTCTTAAGAAATATGCTTTAAAGCAGGAGTGTCCAACCTTTTCGGTCACATTGGAAGAAGAGTAATTGTCTTGGGCCACACATAAAATACACCAATGATAAGGATAGCTGATGAGCAAGAAAGGTGGGCAGATAACAAGCTGACGATCACGTATATAAAGTACCTGAGTAATAACATTTTGTAATTTTTTTTAATTCTAAAATTGGGAGGGCAGCCTGAAACTAGTGCGATATTTGACACTATTTTTCTAAACTAACACATCAGTATCTAGATCGTTGGATGTAGTAGAAATTCTCAAATTCTCAAGTTGTTCATCAGATATTTTAATTCTAATTTTGCTGTTCGTGTGCTTCATCCTTGAAAATCATTGCTTCCAAATATAGGTACTGATGACCTGAATAAGGTGTGATTGTGAAGAATTTGACATTTTTCTGTGGGAAGATAAAACTTTCAGTGTCTTTTTACTGGACTTTTAGTTTTCTTCAGTCGCATGTGATCACGAAGTGTAAATACATTTTTTACAAAAAATTCCCCCCCAAAAATCAACATTTTTACATTTATGATTTTGTGTTGGGCTGCATGTAGCTCAAGGGCCTTAGGTTGGACAACACTGTTTTAAAGTAAGTTGTCTTTGAACTTGCTAGCTTCAAGCGCTGCACCGTAAATCTCAAAATTCACACAAAAAGCAGGAAAGTTGTTTTGGCACTCTGCTCTCCCCACTTCCTAAGTCAGTGCTGGAAGGGGAGCACATTGAGCTAAGCTGATTAAATAAAAGGTTAAGTTTTTTTTTTTTAATTCTGTTACCATTGAGTCAAATTAATTTAACCACTTTACATCCGCCCTATAGCAGTTTTACGTATAAAACGGGCACTGCACTGCAACCCGGGGACGCGCCTGTGCGCCACCGGACGATCGCTTCTGCTGTGAAATGTCACAACACAAATCGATCTACAAGTCCCGAAGAGGTCAGGGAGGAAGAACAGAGCTGTGTCTGTTTACATAGGCACAGTTCTGTTGTGGGGGGGGACTTAAATTGTGTGTCTCTGCAGAGACACACAATCCATTTCCCATAGGAGAAGCACCAGCTAGTGTTCACAAAGCACATAGCTAGGCACACACTTAACCCTTTGATCACCCTAGATGTTAACACCTTCACAACCAGTAGTGTCATTCGTACAGTGATTAGTGTATATTTTTAGCACTGATCACTGTATTAGTGTGACTGGTTCCTACAAAGTATCAGTTATTGTAAACATGTCCGCCTGAACATTGCCATAGTGTGTAGATGCATAACTTTTGCGCAAACTAATCAATATACAATTATTGGGATTTTTTTTACCAAAAATATGTAGCAGAATACAATTTGGCCTAAATTTTATGAAGAAATTTAGATTTTTTTTTTTTTAAAAATGTATTGGATATGTTTTCTGGCAGAAAGTAAGGTCCCCTCCCCCCAAAAAAAATTCTGTCTTTTTTTGTTTATAGCGCAAAATGTAAAAACTGCAGAGGTGATCAAATACCACTAAAAGAAAGCTCTATTTGTGGGGGAAAAAAACTACATAAATTTAATTTGGGTGCAGCATTGCATAACCACGCAGTTGTCCATAAAGGAACACAGTGCCATATCGCAAAAAATGGCCTGGTCAGGAAGGGGGGTAAATTTTCTGGAGGGCAAGTTGTTAATGCTAGTGGTGCACTGAAATGAAAATTCTGGTCCTGAAACCGACACCAAAAATTCAGAATGCATGTGGCTGAAAACTGAACCGTATGTCTGCGTATGTGGGGGTGGCTCCAATTTTATTTATTTTTTTTCTACTGTCGTGTATATTTATTTTTTTTACGTGTGATTTTATTGCCATCACATAGGGGACCAATAGTCCCCTATGTGATAGCATATGAGTAACAGGCCATCTTTGTAGGGGGGGAGGGGGTGGGGGGCAGTGTGTGCAAGGAGGGAGCAGGAGAGAAGCAGTGTATACGGAGAGGCTCCCTCACTGGCTGTCACTGTGTCAGTGCTGATTTATAAATGCAATTGCCGTTTTTTGTTTGTTTTTTTTTCTTCTCTATAGCTCAGAGAAAAAATTTTTAGCTTGGGAAAGGAACTAAAAATAAACTTTGTTTTTTAGCTGGGGAGAAAGTGACAGCTGATTCTCTGAGCTATAGTGAAGAAAATAAAAGCCGTAATTACGTTTAAAAACCAGCACTGACATATAGTGACAGCCAGTCACTGTATACATTGCTCCTCTCCTGCCTTTCTGCACCCCCATCACATCTGCAGTACACACAGTCCCCTGTATCTGCAAAATGCCAATAGGGCTGCTTTCGGCCGGAATTTTGGTGCATCCCTAGTTAATGCGTGTATGTAAATATTTGGGACCTATTCATACTTGTTTGGTTTGGTGCAGCAAAAGTTGCACATTTTCCTACATAAAAATGCATGTCAAGTGGAAATCCCATTCTTGTGTTACCATATGCACAACAAACAAAAGGGACAGTGTACATTCAGTCTTAAGGTAGAACCCTGGCTAAGGATATGGACATTCAAAGTGTGTTACATAAATAGACATTTTTCCTGTTCAGTTATAATAATTTGATTAAATATTCAGATTCTTGTGTAAACCCAGTTGAGACTGGTTCTTCTTGAGGATAAATAGCAAGTTTATTTTGTATTTTAGGAAGCACTTTAAATTGCAAACCTTTTTCACTGTTTTAATGCTTTACTCATTCTAATTCAGGCTCTACACTACATGTTGCTGGTATCAGAAGTAGAAGAAACAGAAATATTCAAAATCTGCCTTGAGTATTGGAACCATTTAGCAGCAGAGTTATACAGGGAGAGCCCTTTTTTTTCCACGTCGGCATCCCCACTTCTTTCTGGCAGTCAACATTTTGATGTTCCCCCCAGGAGACAGCTCTATTTGCCAGTTCTGTCAAAGGTAGTGTTTTACATGTGATTGTGTATTTTGCCTCTTTATTTAATGATGTTCCTTGCAACATTAGAAAACTAGTGGCCTCTGTGGGAAATGTCCAGTCCTGGTGTACCAAGCGCTTAACATTTCCATTGTTCATTGCCAAAATCCAGAGTGATGCAGTTGGAATCCTGTCTACGTTTTGCTGGCCTTTCTTGTACACTTCCATTGGATGATTTTTCAGTTCAGATCCTTCACTATACTGCTTTAACTGGTTTCTACATAGCAGCTATCCAGGTGCTACCACCACCATGGAAAGGGTTAACACTGATGGACCAAGTGCTGATGACATTGGCTGGGTCATGCCTCTGACATTCAGCGTAGAAGAAATGCCATCCTGCTCCCTGCTGCTACTGTTTTACCTGCACCCTGTGGAACTTCAATCATCAATCTGTTCCAACTGACCACTTACAGTGATTTGGTCTCCTTCAGTTGCCTGCCCCTAATCAGCAATAGATACCTTGGATTTAGAGTACCCGAGGCTTTTCCTTTCACTTTTGGCCTTGTAGCGGTACTGCTACACAGGTGCATCATGTCTGCACATAGATGTCAAAGACAGTCTTCCTGCTACGGATGACCCCAATCAATACTCCCCATCTTTATATAAGACCAAACATTGTGTTAATTGCTTGTCTGACTGGGTAACCCATTTCGTCTGTTTGCTTTCAACATGATCCTTAGGGTTATGATTAAGTCTTGGCCTCTAGAACGGCTGATCTTTCTCACTGGACCTGTTTTGTCCTTGGTTCCCTCTTGGAATCCGTTCCTTCTAGAGGTTATCCTCAGTTTACTTTTGACAACATCCGGTTGTGGATCATATTCCCCCTACATGGGAATGTGTTTCAGCTGTTTTTGGTGGGTTCTGGTCGAACCGCTTCTTGTTGGTTCAGTTTTCCCTTCCATGTTGTCATTTTCCTCTTTGACCTTTTCTATCCTTGTCTTGAGAATGAGGTTCGTTCTCTGTTCCCCTTTGCCTGAATCTAAAACCAGTTGATGCCAGGCCATTGTCCTTCATGTGGCTTCTAGGCTGCAGGCATTCCCCAATTTCTTTTGACCTGAGATGCACCTAAAAGTTTAAATATACCTTTATTAATAGTGGTCCGATTAGGGCCATCTGTAAAATTTCCATAAATGCCAAATATGTCAATGTAAGTACATAACTCTTTCTAATACTGTACAGTACCTGGCCACCACCTCCCCTCCCTACTCTGTATTTCAGAATGTTGTTTGTGCATAACAATGTCTTGTAATAATGTAAAACCATAGTCATAGCTATACCACTTGAAGACCGCCTAACTGGGAATATGTGCCATGGTTATAAGTGGAATACCTGGGTTGTGGCTGCAACTGGCATTTCTCCAACCGCTAAAAGTAATCAGAGTGTCTGGAACACTTTTAGAAGCTTTCCAGTGGTTCTCGGGCTTACCTGGATGATCGGTGAGCCCCAGGAACCAATCCGGTGGTTTCAGCGGCTAACTATAGAGATTAGCTGAGGAAAAATGGCCTCCGCTATTCTCTGTGGTCTCCAAACTGCGGCCCAGGGGCGATGTGGCCCTTTGCTTGCCTTTATCTGGCCCTTGAAGCATTATTTTTGCCACTGTCACCAACCTTGGGTTGGGACACTATTCCTTCCACTAACAACAATGGGGTACTATTCCTGCCATTGAATCCAACTTTCTCCCCCTAATGCCAAAGATTGGGCATTGTTTTCTCCCACTGGGCACAGTCCAGCCCCCCTAAAGTCTGAAGAACAGTAAACTGGCCCTTTGTTTAGAAAGTTTGGAGAGCCCTGGTCTAGACCATAGACCTGTCATGCTTTTATTGCAAGGGCTGTCAATTTTTATTGCTATCGCATTAATGTAATTTAAAAATAAAGAAAATTTAAAGGGACAGTGTAAAAAAAAAAAGTAATAAAAAATAAGTGTTTAAAGTGCCCCCATCCCCCTGTGCTCACACTCAGTTGTGAGCGCATTTGTAGGTTGCACCCCCATATGTAAATGGTGTTCGCACCATACTTGTGAGGTATCGCTGCGAACGTCAGAGCAAGAGCAATAATTGTAGTACTAGACCTCCTCTGTAGCTCTGAACTGGTACACTAAAAAAAGTTAAAGCATCGCCTATGGAGATTTTTAGGTAGCGTAGTTTGACACCATTTCACGAGCATGCGCAATTTTAAAGCATGACGCGTTGACTATCTATTTACTCAGTGTAACATCATCTTTCATATTTTTATTAATTGTTTGTTTTTTTTTTTTCTAATTAAAGCGTTTTTTTTTTAAAAAAAAAGAAAATTGCGTTGGAAAGACTGCTGCGCGAATACCATGTGATATAAATTGCAGTGACCACCATTTTGTTCTCTAGGGCCTCTGCTAGAAAAAAATGTTTGGGGGTTCTAAGTAATTTTCTAGCAAAAACACTAATTTTTACATGTAGGAGAGCAGTGGTCCCTATGTGGAAATGCATATTTTTCTTTCGTGTTTCACATCATTTTTGTATGCTGTAAGTCCTGGTTCACACTGAATGCGACTATGAAATCCCACTATTTTTGAAATTGTGCTATTTCAATTCGCACTGATTAAGAAATTGCCATAGAAATGCATTAGATGCGACTTCAGGTGCGAGTTGTAAATCGAATGTCACACCTGAAGTTTCACTGGTGTGAACCAGGGCTTCAAGTGAACCTGACTTGTCCCCCAAAGTGCATTACAAACATTGGTGAACTACAGACTGTTTTCTTGCAAATACTAGTACTTTTCTTTAAAACAAATTGGGCTTAGTGGGACCTCCCCCCCCCCCCCCCCCGCAATGCTTGAAGAACCCCCTTATTACTGTGTCTCCTCCCATCTCTGATCCCCATGCCTGTGCTTTATCTGTCAAAAGTTAAAGGCTGTGTTAGTCAGTTTTTCTGCTACTTGATAGTTGAATGACTGGGAAGAGAGCTTAAAGAAAAAAGATCTTGTTAAAGAAAACTTGTTTAACTAGATTTTATATGAAGTTGAGTAACATATTGTCTTGCAGGTGCGTTTATTGATGGTTAGTCGAATGGCAAAACCAGAAGAAGTTTTGGTTGTAGAGAATGATCAGGGTGAAGTGGTTCGGGAGTTTATGAAGGACACAGATTCCATCAATTTGTATAAAAACATGAGAGAAACTTTGGGTAAGGATTTTCTCTGCTTTCCATGTACATTTTGTTAGCAACATGCTTGATTTGAATTCAGATTAACCTTTTGTGGTGTATTGATTATTTCTGATACGTCTTTTTTTTTTCTGATCTGCATACTTGTTCCAGATCTGTGACAGTAAACAACTAGCGTTTCAGCAGGTCAATTATGGCTGCCTACGTAATGTTCTCATAAGTTTCCCTAAAAATTATTTTAATTCTGTGTTTCTAGTTGCTTTGCTTTCAAAACCCCCTATGACCTGCTCACTGTTCTTACCTACTCTCATGTACAATGCTTTGTGGGCTTGGGTACCATGCGGTTCTAATTTTCCATACTGGTTAACATCTTGTTTTCTCTTTTTAGTTTACCTCACCCATTTAGATTATGCAGACACAGAACGAATTATGACTGAGAAACTACATAACCAAGTAAATGGGACAGAGTGGTCATGGAAAAATCTGAATACTTTGTGTTGGGCTATTGGTTCAATCAGTGGGAGCCATGCATGAAGAAGATGAGAAGAGGTTTCTAGTTACAGTCATCAAAGTAAGTGAGTGTGCTTGGTAAAATATTTATGCTTGCTTTTTTTTATTTTTATTTTATTAAGGCGGTAATCCTATGGAGTATATACTCCTGCATGAGTTGGTCTTCTGTGTATTCTTTAATTTTACATATTTGAACTCAAAAGCTATGGCATATCTCTTGTTGAGATGATTTAATAGAAATTGGGCTGAAAATGTGCTTGCCATGTGACTAGAAACATTGCCTTTATTTCTGATGGTAAGGATTATCCAATGTGTACTCCTTTTCTCCATTTCAGTAGCAATCATATCATGAAATACCTGTGATTTTGGTCATGTGATTGGCAATGGGGAGCAGTGTCGAGCTGTTTACATTTATTAACAAGATCATGTCAGGGTGAATGTGATGTCTTTATAAATAAAACAAATGAAAATTAAGTGCTTCCCAAACTGCAAGAGTAGTAACAATTCATTAAAGTACTTCACAATTGAATCTAGCCTCTGTAGTGTCTTTACTTCTCATGGGAGGGTTATCTCATATTTGCATCTCCCTACAATAATAGAGTGCAGTTATACTATCATACTGCCTTTTCAACTATACAGCGCCAAGATGTAATCCAAAAAAAAACTATCTTCTTAATGGTACAAATGCATACACATCCACATACATGTAGAGAGCTCAGCATAAATGAGTACATCCTATTTGAAAACCTTTTAGAGCATTTGTTTAGCTAATTACAAAGTAAGGTTAATAATATAACTTAGATTACAAAATCTTCAGTTTTACTCAAATTAGTTAGTGAATACACCCCACAGCAAAAACTACTCCATCTAGTATTTTGTATGACCTCCATGATTTGAAAGGACAGTACCAAGTCTTCTAGGCATGGAATAAACAAGTTGGCAACATATTGCAACATCAATCTTTTTCCATTCTTCAAGAACAATCTCTTTGAAAGTCTGGATGCTGGATGGAGAGTGATGCTCAACTTGTCTCTTCAGAATTCCCCATCGGTGTTCGATTGGGTTCAGATCAGGAGACATACTTGGCCACTGAATAATTTTTTTTTTCAGAATTGCACCAGTGGCCTTAGATGTGTGTTTTGGTTCATTGTCATGTTGGAAAAGTGCATGATGACCAAGGGCACAGAGATAGTGTTGCATCTTCTTTCAATATAGAGCAGTACATCTATGAATTCATGATACCATCAATGAAATGCAGCTCCCCGACACCAGCAGCACTCATGCAGCCCCACAGAAGGACACTGCCATCACCATGTTTCGCTGTAGGCACCATGCATTTTTCTTTGTACTCCTCACCTTTGCAACGCCATACAGTTTTGAAGCCATCAGTTCCAAAAACATTTATCTTGGTCTCATCAGAATACAGAGTCCCAGTAGTCTTCTCCTTTTTCAGCATTGTCCCTGGCAAATTCTAGGTGGCTTTTTTTTGTGCATGGGCTTTAGGGGAGGTTTTCTTCATGGACGACACCCATGTATGCCATTGCTCTGCAATGTACGCCGTACACTGTATTGTGTCACAGGAAACAATCACCCCAGTTTGGCTTTCTACTTCTTTAGCTAACTGCAGTGAACTTGCATAGTGATTTTCTTCAACCCTTCTCATCAGAAGACACTCCTGTCGAGGTGTTAATTTCTGTGGACAGCCTGGATGTCTGTGTGAGATGGTTGCAGTTCCATCTTTGTTAGATTTTTGTTTCACTTTTGCTACAGTATTCTGACTGATAAGTAAAGCTTTGCCGATCTTCTTGTAGCCTTCACCTATCTTGTGTAAGGAAATTATTTTCTTTCTGAGGCCTAGTGGCATTTCTCTTCCATGTGGTGCCATTGCTGACAGCATGAAATGGGAGGGGGTTTTCTTTAAGCAACTCCTTTTTTTATAATCAACTGTCTGCTGAACACCTGTTTAACCACTTCCTGACTGCCCTATGGCCTGGTCAGGAAGGGGGGTAAATCCTCTGGAGGGCAAGTGGCTAATGAATAATTACTCACCTGTAGTTGATTTCTTGTTATGATTTTGTCTAAAATCTACCTTTGTTCCTAAGACTTTCATTGGGGTGTATTCATTTTTGCAACACAGTCATGAATGAATTTGTTAAGAAAAATATTTTTTGGATGTGCAAATTACCAAATCTTGTTTGCAATCAATGGCCCATATTTGTGGGAGTATTTTGTAGTATAGTGTCTCATAGAAAATGTTGGTTCTGAAAGAAAGGTAGAGGTTTTCTGACAAATCTGTTGGGGTGTATTCATTTATGCTGAGCACGTACATACCCATAGGCTAATATATGTGAATGCACTATCCAATGAGGTTTCATCTGATTACCATGCACACTGAAAAGAAGCACACTGCAGTGGCTCACATACACCAATGCTCTCAATACTTTGCTAACAAAATAGTTACAACTTAAAAAAAACTTGGTAGATCTCCATTTGGACATACAGTATATCCGTTTTGAGATTGAGACAAGTAGCCTATCTCACAGTCTAGATGCAGGCAACACAATGAATGTAACTAGTCTTTTTATGTAAAAGCAGAAGTGTGTTTTTGTTTTTTTTGGTGTGTGTGTTCGTTTGTGTTTTTTTTTGTTTTGTTTTTTTTGTATTCACTTTTTTTAATATTTCCTGACAAGTCTCTTGCTTTACGTGATACATTTAAATGATGTTGCTAGATTATAACTACTTTCATTTCAGGATCTTCTTGGTCTTTGTGAGCAAAAACGTGGCAAAGACAACAAAGCTATCATTGCATCCAACATCATGTACATCGTGGGGCAGTATCCAAGGTTTTTGAGAGCCCACTGGAAATTTCTAAAGACAGTTGTAAACAAACTATTTGAATTCATGCATGGTAATTTTTTCTTTTTTTCAATACTATAAAAAATTCATTCTTTGAAACTGTTGCCCTTACCACACTGTTCTTTGCACTCTCCTGGAATGCATGTTAATCATACAAGCTGACAGTTTGCTTTCAGATAGAAATGATCCGGCGGCTATGCAGCAGCTGGATCAGTTCCACGCATCACACCTGGACGGGCACCCCATTTTTCCTGGCATGGCTAGTGCCACCAGTTATATTTGGGAGGGAGACTCGCAAACATCCATTCACAGATTTCCACTAGCCTGGAAATTACTTGTATTACGATACTTGCTATGGCTGGGAACGGAACAACATCTGTGCTCCATTAGCTTCAGTGAAGTGTAGGCAAGACCTCAGGGGGCCCCCCACATATGCACATATATGTGCATTAATGCACACATCCTGGATGCACAAAAAGTTGATTACGCTACACATACTACTTATAGAGCTGTACATGCCAGACCGAGCAATAATTCCAGGGCTATCATTCACATTTAATTCTAAATTGGTAACCTGTTAAAAGCTTTGTCTATGGAAAATTTTAGGTACCGAAGTTTGGGGCCTTTTTTATGGGCACGAGCAATTTTAAAGCAAGAACTGACCAAATTTTGAATACTGTGCGGCAGTCCCCTTTCAACAGAAGTCAAAGTGGCATGTTGAATAACATTTAATGATCAACAGCTGCAGCCAATAAGTTCCCTACTGCATATTAAGAAAAACTCCACCCACTCCATGAGACTTCAGTGTGGTTTTTTGATTTACTGATTTCCTTAGGTGGTTGACCTCTTCTCTTTTGAGGAAGTTATGGCCCTGTTCACACCAGAGTGCGGTGTGGGAAACCCACGTTCTACGTTGTGATCTGTAGCGTGTGCCGGTTAACAATACCCCAAACACAGATCGCAAATGCAGTGCATTTGCTTGCACTGTATAGCATAGTACAGAAGTACCATGTGAATTTTTTTTTTGTAGTGAGTTTCCAAAGTAGTGCATGCACTACTATCGGTGTGGTGCAGTGTGATTTGAGTCCCTTCAAAATGAAGGGGCTCAAATCGCATCACACAGGAACGTGCAGCACATTGCTGTGCGATTCCTGGTATGAACCAGCCCTTCAACTATTCCCTTTTTTTTTCTGCAGACTCTTCTTTCAAGAAATTATTTTTTTAACGTGCAAAATCTTCTCTGGCAGCAAAAGGGTTACAAAGTGCTTTATAACTTTATGCAATTTCAGAGACCCATGATGGTGTGCAAGATATGGCATGTGATACATTTATTAAGATCGCTCAGAAATGTCGCAGGCATTTTGTTCAAGTTCAAGTTGGTGAAGTAATGCCATTTATTGATGAAATTCTAAACAACATAAATACCATAATTTGTGATCTTCAGCCTCAACAGGTAAGATATTTTTATTTTAAAATGCTGAGGTTTGGAGCTGGCAGTACAAATAAGCATTATTTTTCTGTGTAGTATAATTGTCATGTAGTGGACTTGGGCTATTCCTGATTTTAAAAGCTTTTTAGTTGGTGATCATTGTACGTCTTAGTGATATGTAAAGGTTGTTGTTAATACCTCTTCCAACCTGTGTTTTTGATTTAGGTTCACACCTTCTATGAAGCTGTGGGTTATATGATAGGAGCTCAGACAGATCAACCTGTACAGGAGCATTTGATAGAAAAATATATGCTTCTTCCTAACCAAGTATGGGACAGTATTATTCAACAAGCCACGAAGGTGAGTGATAGCCAAGGGTGGGGAAAAATGTGATAACTGTTGTGTGTTTTTTTTTTTTTTTTTTCCCCCTTAATTCCACGAGTTTTCCATACAGAGAAGATAGCATGGCTACACAAAGACCTACAGACATGACACAAGATGGAGTGCCAACACAATGATGATGCAAAGTACAACGCCAGAATGTAACCTAGACTGTTACTCATTCCCTCTTAAGCCTTGGCCTCGTTAAAATTGGGTTTAGTGGCCCATATAGCACCTTGACCTCTGCACTCATAGGCGGCGGTTCCGTCTTTTGATATTCCTGCAGCGAGGTGTTTGTTTTTCCTATCAGAAGAGGCTGTGTAGTTGTATATTAAGAAAAGTGTCTTAAAGTCTAAAAAGCAATCCTGTGGCTGCTAATAAGACTTTTTCATGCGCTTACGTGGTGACAAGTGTCCCTTCACAATAGTGAATCTTCTGAGATGGGGGCAGGTCAACTGTCATAGCTCTGATCCTGATAGCTTCAGTTTAGTGCAGTCCAGATCCTCCTCTTCTTGGGTCCTCTGCCAGCACGCCTGACCTCTCCCTGCTGTTGGGTGCCTTCACAGCAAGCAGCATTCTATGGGGGCACCAAAGTCTGTGTAATACCCAGCCACTGCTCCGTGTATCCATTCACACATGGAGCTGTGTCTCAGCCCCGTCCCCTGTCTCTTCTCATTGGCTCACTGGCTAGCAGTAGGAGCCAATGGCTCCTGTTGCTGTCTCAGCCAGTGGGGAGAGGGAATCCTGGGATTGCCAAGAGACTCTAGTGCACGTCACTGGATTGAGATGGGGCTTGGGTGAATATTAGGGGGGATGCTGCATAGAGAAGGTTTTATACCTTCATGCATAGAATGCATGAAGATAAAAAACCTTGAGCCTTTACAACCACTTGAATGGCTGGCTGAGTCCTGTGCTAAATGGAAATATAGGTTGTCTTTGCCATCTGCAGTTTCTGGCCTGAATGTACCAGTAGTGGTTTATCGTAGAAAATTTTTCAAATTTAAAAAAAAAAAAAAAAAAATCACAAAAGAACCTCCGGTCTACTAGAGAGACGAAGCCTAACTGTGTAGGTGTTGGGGGAGGGACTATAACAAGGGGGCTGGTCTGTGGTTTACTATGAGCCTAGCGTCCATTTTCTCCTGCAGGTGACAGGATAACTCTAGGTTTCTTGCTATTAAGCTTTGTCCCTCAATGGACAATAGAGATTGTTATACTTTATGAGCTGAGATTTAAGAGATAGGTAGATTATTTGTGGTATTAAGGATATTACAGCTTATATCAGCTCTGTCAGAAAGTTCAGGATATTGGTTATTAGACAGACAGCAGGTGCCTGCAGCTCCACGCATGGCCTTACACTCATTCTAGTTCTAACCAGTCAATTCTGGACTCTGGGCATGAACATTTTCATTTAAAATATATTCCTTAAAGTGGTTCTTCACTCTTGAAAAAAAAAAAAATTAGGTTGGCTGTAGCTAAATCCTGTAGCTGCTGACTTTTAATAACAGACCACTTGCCTCTCCAGGGATCCAGCGCCGTTCTCACCCGGGCTAGTATTCCACTAGATGTATCAAAATGGTGCAGCACTGTTATAAATACACCCAAATAAATCAGATTACAATACATCAATACACAAATTATACACACAGTGTTAAAGTGCCACATACAATAACCTAAAAAAATGTATTTCAAATACGTATATCTTGTGTGAAATAAAGTGTATGTGCAATATTATAAAAAAATATCTTCCTATATGCATGCACTAATAACTGCATGAATAGTGCCACATGCAATCCAGTAAAAAAATTATCCCTCAAGTGACAATCCGAAAGAGAATGAAAGTGAAGAAATTCCAAAACTAGCTAAATCCAAAAGGTGTTGCTGCTCCATATGCAAAATCCTTCACCATATTGCACTCACCAGAAAACTTGCTGGTCTTTAGCCTATATTATAGCTCGCTTTCTCTCCCCCTCTCTTTTTCTCCCCCTCTCTCTCTCTCCCCCTTCCCTTCTCTCTCTCTCCCCCTTCCCTTCTCTCTCTCTCTCCCCCTTCCCTTCTCTCTCTCTCTCCCCCTTCCCTTCTCTCTCTTCCCCCCCCTTCCCTTCTCTCTCTCCCCCCCCTTCCCTTCTCTCTCTCCCCCCCCTTCCCTTCTCTCTCTCTCTCTCCCCCCCTTCCCTTCTCTCTCTCCCTCCCCCCCTTCCCTTCTCTCTCTCCCCCCCCCCCCTTACCCCTTCTCTCTCTCTCTCCCCCCCCTTCCCTTCTCTCTCTCTCCCCCTTCCCTTCTCTCTCTCTCCCCCTTCCCTTCTCTCTCTCTCCCCCTTCCCTTCTCTCTCCCCCTCTCTCTCCCCCCTTTCCCTTCTCTCTCTCTCCCCCCCTTCCCTTCTCTCTCTCTCTCCCCCCCTTCCCTCTCTCTCCCCCCCCCCTTCCCGTCTCTCTCTCTTCTCTCTCTCTCTCTCTCTCTCTCTCTCTCTCTCTCTCTCTCTCTCTCTCTCTCTCTCTCTCTCTCTCTCTCTCTCTCTCTCTCTCCTTCCCTTCTCTCTCTCTCTCTCTCTCTCTCCCTTCTCTCTCTCTCTCCCTTCCCTCTCTCTCTCTCTCTCTCTCTCTCCCTCCTTCTCTCTCTCTCTCTCTCCCTTCCCTTCTCTCTCTCTCCCTTCCCTTCTCTCTCTCCCTTCTCTCTCTCTCCCTTCCCTTCTCTCTCTCGCCCCTTCTCTCTCCCCCCCTTCTCTCTCTCCCCTTCTCTCTCCCCCCCTTCCCTTCTCTCTCTCTCTCTCTCCCCCCCTTCCCTTCTCTCTCCCCCCTTCCCTTCTCTCTCTCTCTCTCCCCCCTTCCCTTCTTTCTCTCTCTCTCCCCCTTCTCTCTCTCTCCCCCCTTCCCTTCTCTCTCTCTCTCTCTCTCTCCTTTCTCTCTCTCCCCCCTCTCTTTTTCTCTTTCTCTCTCCCTCTCTCTCTCTCCCTCCGAAGAAATGCTCACCACACTGAGCCCAGTGACCATATATAGTGTAGTATTTAATTAATTAAAATATTGTTACATAGAATAAAATACAAACCTCTTCCACGTGGAATGTTAAAACAAAGAAGTGCGGCCGGACATACCAAGATGGCTGCCGATCCAGGACTCATCAGCATGTAGGCGCCATCCAACGCGTTTCATGCACAGCCCAGGCTCCAGTGCACATGCTCTCCTGCAACCAAAAATAATAAATGCACATTTTTTTTTTACCTGCAGAAACCAAATGTGCATTTTATTATTTTTGCTCAAAAGGTAAAACTTCTCCTTTTAAAGTGTAACTAAAGGCAAAACTTTAGTTTTTGGTGGAGTGAGTTTTAGAACACCCCTTGGTATACTGCTGTCTGAGCCCCTATTAGGGAGAATTACGTGCTATGTTTACTGTTATCAATGAAGTAAAAGAAAATTCCAAATTTCCGGTTAACATCGGAATAGTAATAGAGGGGAAATCTGCTATTTATTTATTTCAGGTACTTATATAGTGCCGTCAATTTACGCAGCACTTTACATACATATATTGTACATTCACATCAGTCCCTAACCCTCAAGGGGTGTACAATCTAAGGTCCCTAACTCACATTCATACATACACATACTAGGACCAATTTAGACAGGAGCCAATTAACCTACCAGCATGTCTTTGGAGTGCCAATGGGAACACTAGTTCTACTGACCCTAGTGTCACACCGTGATTCCCACACTTTGGAGGGATCTCCGTTCACTTCCTGTTTGGCTATGGGACAGAAGTGAAGGGAAATCTCTGCAACGAGACACTGATGGCAAAAAACACAAACGGGGGTTATAACCCTTCCTTACTCTATCCAAAATGAAGAAAAGTTTTGCCTTCAGTTAAACTTTAATAACCTCGAAAGTACAATCCTACTTTGGATTTGCAAAAGTGTTTGGTGCATACAGGTATTGACTTGAAAAAGTAGTAGTGAAACCATTACTGGGCTGCACAATAGTCTGTGCAGGGAGCAGGGCTGTACCTAGCATGCCCATACACTACAAGGTGAATGCAAAGCAAGAAAAGGGAGATGATGCAAGACAAGTCATTCTGCACAAGGACAGGAAGTATTAGTGACAAACTTTCATTATAGAATTTTCCTACAGAGGCAGTTTTATGCCAAATTACTGCACTGATCTAGACGAGATACACAAAGCACTCTAAAGCTTAATACAGAATGCAAGTACAGCTTGTATTTAGACAATATTCTTATCCCAGAGTTTTGCTGTAAGATTTCACCATTTAGTGATCCATGAATCTAGAACAAATATGTAGTTAGACATTTTCAGGACTCTTCACATGTACTTGGGGGGAGGGTTGTTATCACCAAGTAGCGAAGGAAGGATAAGAATGACTGACTGCTGCAGAACTTGCTACAAGCTGCATTGGCACCTGACATTTTATATCTGGATGATGTCATGTTTAAGGCTGTTTCTTCAATTAAATTGTCATTGTGTAACATTTGGAGAATATAGTGTTGCTGCTTGTGTAGCCTAAAAAGTGAGAGTACTACCTCAGTTACAAACTTTTTTTTTTTTTTTTCCCCCCCAGAATGTTGACATATTGAAAGACCCGGAAACAGTCAAACAACTTGGAAGCATATTAAAAACAAATGTAAGAGCATGTAAAGCTGTCGGACACCCCTTTGTTATTCAGCTTGGAAGAATCTATCTGGATATGTTAAACGTTTACAAGTGCCTAAGTGAAAATATTTCTGCAGCTATTCAGGCAAATGGTAAGCTGGTAGTTTGTTTTGTTTTTTTGACCTTCAGTTATGAAATGTTTGTTACTGTTTTGTCATATAGTAAAGGTTGTACCTGCTTGTTTTTTTCAGGGGAGATGGTTACAAAGCAGCCTCTGATACGCAGTATGAGAACAGTTAAAAAGGAAACCTTAAAGCTAATATCGGGCTGGGTTAGCAGATCGAATGACCCACAGATGGTAAGTGTGAGTGTGGATTGTTTTTGGTTCCAGCATGTTTGTTGTGTGCTACATTAATTTTCTAATGGGCCATTAAGTGATCTTAAAGCTTCATTTAATAAAAAAAAGAAAAAAAAGCTGTTTATACTTGCCTGCTCTGTGCAGTGACACAGCAGCCCCAGTCCTACTCTTCTCCCTTGACCAGTGCCTCCAAATAGTGAGCCACTTATGGGGGCACACTGGTGCGTGCTCGTTCCCAATCCCCGCTCTGTGCGTCCATAATGAGTTGGCCCCAACCCCGCTGTCTCCTCATTGGTTCACTGGCTGTCATTGGAAGTACTGGGAGCCAATGAGAGGATAGAGAGAACGGGGACAGCTCAGGCTCCAGTGCACATCACTGGATTTGAGAGGTGCTTAGTTAATTATTTGGGGGGGGGGGTGCTGCACACTAAAGGCTTTTTTTTACTTTCATGCATAGAATGCGTGAAGGTAAAAAGAACCTTCTGCCTTCACAACCACTGTAACCACTTGCCCTCGAGGATTTAAACACCCCCCCCCCCCTTTCTAACCAGGCCATTTTTGGCGTTAAGGCTCTGCATTACTTTAACTGACAATTGCACGATTATGCAACGCTGCACCCAAATGAAATTTGTCCCTTTTCTTTTCCCATGAATTGAGCTTTCTCTCGGTGGTATTTGATCACAAAAAGCGCTGACACTGTACTAATGGCACTGGGCAGGAAGGGGTTAAACATGAGGGAATCAAAGGGTTAACTGTTTGCAGGGAGTGTTTTACTAGGGGGTGCAGTCTGTGTTTCACTGTAATCACACTGCTCTGGATGGCTGTGCACAGCACAGCCATGTGGAGCAGTGTTCCCGAGCTGACAGGGAGGACTGTTCTTAAACAAAACAGTCCTCCTCCCCATCGGAGATGCTCGGTAATCATTGGCCGGGACCCGGTGATTGATACCCGGAAATGCAAAATTACGTATACATACGTGATTTTGCGCTCCCCTGCCGCCCTGTAGCAGTATATCTGCTATAGGGCGGCGGGAAATCGGTTAAAGTACCTGCTTCTTTGCCTCTTTAATGTACTAGGTCACCTAGATGTAAAAACATATATACGTTGGGGAGGTGGTAGCTGGCTGTTTTTGGTGTATGGACCGTATTGGGACATAAGTAATATTTAGTAAATGTAACATATTTGGAAAAGTGTGAATGGGCTTTAAATGTCAGTTTTTTGTGGTTTAACATTTTGCCTTTCATCAAAGATTATTTAAGTTCTCTGTTTTCTAATATGATTAATTGCATATTCTGTTTTCAGGTTGCAGAGAACTTTGTTCCTCCTTTGCTGGATGCAGTTCTGATTGATTATCAAAGAAATGTGCCAGCTGCCAGGGAGCCTGAAGTACTCAGCACAATGGCTACTATTGTAAACAAGCTAGGAGGCCATATTACAGCTGAAATACCTCAGATATTTGATGCTGTGTTTGAATGCACGTTAAACATGATAAATAAGGTATGTTCAATTTCTTTAGGTAAACTAATGTACAATATGCCCCATGTTGACACCTAACAAAATACCGTATTTTTCACCCCATAAGACGCACTTTTTTCCCCCAAAAAAAGGGGGGAAAATGTCAGTGCGTCATATGGAGCGGCCGGTCCGGTATTTCCACCGCCGCCGTGTCAGAATACCGGGCCGGCCGCTCAGCTCTGCAGCGGGACCTTATGGAGATGACTGCTGACCTTTGGGGAGGTGGGGAGCGGGTACCTGAATTTGACAGGTACCCACTTTTACTTCCGCTGAGTTTTTTCTTTGACTGTACCTGTTCCTCTATCCAGCAGCGCGCTGTCTTCCCGGCTTCTGTAGTGTGGGCGCTGGGCTTGACAGCCGGGTGCCAAGTGCGCATGCGCAAGAAGCGGTGCTTTTTGTGATTGATAAGGCGGTACCTGGGACACATGACAGATCCCAGAAGCTGCCGGACCAATCACAAAGCGCAAGTGCTTCTCGCTCATGCGCACTGGCACCCGGCTGTCATGCCGAGCGCCCACACTACAGAAGCCGGGAAGACAGCGCGCGGCTGGATACAGGAACAGGTAAGATCAAAGAACAACTCCGCGGAAGTAAGAGTGGGTACCTGTCAAATTCAGGTTCCCGCTGCCCCCCCCCCTCCCCAAAGGTCAGCAGTCATCTCCTGTGCTGTCCGCAGTCTCTGGTCATCCCTGTGCTGTCCGCAGTCTCTGGTCATCCCTGTGCTGTCCGCAGTCTCTGGTCATCCCTGTGCTGTCCGCAGTCTCTGGTCATCCCTGTGCTGTCCGCAGTCTCTGGTCATCCCTGTGCTGTCCGCAGTCTCTGGTCATCCCTGTGCTGTCCGCAGTCTCTGGTCATCCCTGTGCTGTCCGCAGTCTCTGGTCATCCCTGTGCTGTCCGCAGTCTCTGGTCATCCCTGTGCTGTCCGCAGTCTCTGGTCATCCCTGTGCTGTCCGCAGTCTCTGGTCATCTGTACTATGTCTGCAGTCCATTAGTTGAGAATTTTTTTTTCCTGTTTTCGGCCTCTAAAACCTAGGTGCATCTAATGGTCAGGTGCGTCTTATGGAGCGAAAAATACGGTACTTAGTGTTTTCCACTCAATTTGGTCGATTTTTGTTTTGTAACTTTTCAGTGCATTACAGCAGATGAATGAGGTGGTTTTATTGTTTGTTTTTTTTCGCCATTGCCTCCTTCCAAAAAAAAAAAAAAAAAAAAGCTACAAAGCCCACAAATGGAGCTTTCTTTCGGTGGTATTTGATCACCTCTGCTGTTTTTATTTTTTGTGCTATAAACAAAGAAAGACCAACAATTTTTAAAACAATTGTTTTAACTTTTTGCTATAAAAACATATTCAATAAAAAAAAATTAAAAAATCAAATTTCTAAATACATTTTGACCAAAATGTATTCTGCTACATGTCTTGCTAAAAAAAAAAAATCCCAATATGTGTAAATTAATTGGTTTCAGTGGAAGTTTTATAGCGTCTACAAATGGCGGTATATATATATTGTAATTGTATTGTAACACCAACGCAGTGTGATCAATGCTAATAAAAAGCACTGACACTGTACTAATGACACTGGGCAGGAAGGGGTTAACATCTGGGCGATCAAAGGACTAACTGTGTGCTGTGTGTTTTACATTATGTGCTTTGTGTTTTACTGCAGACATGCTTCTTTGTATTTCTCAACTGTGCAGAGAAATACAAAGCAGCATGTCCTTACTGACAGGAGAGAGACCTGTGTTGTTTACATACAGGTCTCCCCCTGTCAGTTTTACCTGACGATTGCCGACTGCTGGCTGGGAATCGCTGGTCGGGACCTGGTGATTGACATCCCTAGCCATCAATAGCAGTAGCAAGTGGTAAATTGGCTATTGCACTGTTTTGAAGTATATCGGCTTTGGTCTGTCCTGATCACTGGGAAAAGTATATATCTGCAATACGCAAATATGATTTCACGGTGGACCCTTTAGGTTGCACATATACCTGTACCCACAGGAAGACTTCTGAAGAAGCTGAAATGAAAAGCAAGAACATGGTCTGTTGTTTTCTGTGATCTCACATCAAGCTACCTATGGGTACAGGCAGGTGTTTCTATCTGCACAATAAGATGAGCTTTGTTTTAGGAGTGGCAAACAGGGGAGTAACTTACAAAGGCATAGTCATTAACACCTATGTCTGTTAAGCCATGTGTACAATTGGGTCAATTAAAAGGTGCTTGCTGCTGGCTGTCAAACTGGGAGCATGGATTAACACCTAGACACTGAACATTGTGCAGAGGAATGATGATCTACAATGTGAGTCCAGAGAGTGACAAAATAAAGTTAATTAACAGCATAATACATTTATTTTGTGCAGGACTTTGAAGAGTACCCAGACCACAGGACAAACTTCTTTTTGCTTTTACAAGCTGTAAATTCCCACTGCTTCCCTGCTTTCCTGGCCATACCTCCAGCACAGTTTAAGTTGGTTTTGGACTCCATAATTTGGGCTTTCAAACACACTATGCGAAATGTTGCAGATACAGGTAGGAAACTATATCTGTTCTTATATACTATGCATACTGTACAGGCTTTTATAAAGGCATCACAAAGGGAAGGAACCCAGTCAGTCCTTTTTTTTTTTTTTTTTTTTTTTTTTTTTTTTTTTTTTTTTTTTTTTTTTTTTTTTTTTTTTTTTCCTAAGTGAAACTGAACTCAAAAAGATTATTTGCTTTGTTAATGTTTCATTTTGGCTATACAGGACTTTGGAAATGTAACTTGGATTTGAACTTTCCCAGGCATACCTTTTCTTATAACCTCAGCTATATTTCTGCAATGTGTAAAAAGCACTGCTGCCTTTGTTAGTTTCAGGAGATTAAATTATGTTATTATGGTTTTTGCTCACTGTTGTTCCTGCTGGAGGATCTGACATGTCTCTACTAAAATGGCTGCTACCACACAGGACACAGTATAGAGCAAGACATGGCAAGTATATAATAAAGATAGATCAGCAGCAGGGGACCACATGCAATACTGATGACTAGTTCTATGATCTTTACTATCTCTTGGTATCTATGCTTTGTATTTGTCCTTTGTTCTGCCTTATTTGATAGTGTGTCTCTTTGCCATTTTACGTTGAAGGAATTTTATGGTCACCGCATACTTTCATTTTATAATGTCTCAGCATTGTAATAGCAATACAAACAATAGTTATTTTTGAGAATCCAATAAAAGCTTTCTTGAAAAAACTCCTTTCATGTGTTGAGTGCTGCCAGTCTGCTGGCAATCTCTTCACAACTTTTTGGATTTCCTGCACTCTTCAGCTTCTCAGCTGTTTACTTTCAGGACTACATATCCAAAGCTATCTTGTTGCCTGCAAGCAGTGTTTCTCCTGTACTTTCTCCGCCTCCTGAATCTCCTGTCATAGCATCTGTAGTTCAGAAAGCAGGCTCTGTGAATTCTGTCACAGCAGTTCTTATCACAGTATATTGAATATGTGTCAGAATTGTGGGGAGATTCACACAATTCAAAATTGTTAAGAGTAATAGGAGTAGGCTAGAAATAATCAAAATGCAATGTGGAGATATGATTGTAAATTGTGATCGAAGATTTACTTGAAATGTTGTGGCCAACTCCTTTCTTTTACTATGGATATGTGTCTATTTCAGGATTACAGATTCTTTATACTTTATTACAAAACGTTGCTCAAGAAGAAGCTGCAGCGCAGAGTTTCTATCAAACCTATTTCTGTGACATTCTTCAGCACATCTTTTCTGTAGTGACGGATACTTCACACACTGCTGGTATGTAAGGAATTGTACACTTAAGTGATTACTGTTCATGGACCTGTTTGTTAGATCAGAAATACCACTGGAAAAAAAAAATATGAACAGAGTACTGATCTTGTCAAAGTTAAAAAGGTGCAACCACCAGTGAAGACCTTCCCATTGTATTTTTGTTAATAAAAGAACATATCTCAAGCCTGGGCAACTAAAACCAAGTGTATTTTGAGAATGTATAAGAAGGTTACCTCAAGTCAAAATCAGTAGATCCAAGTATATAAGCAACTGAAATTCTGTATAAACCTTGCCTCTCCCTGTAGTTGAGTTCACCCCACCAGTCTCTCTACCGGCCACACACCACATTTAACAGGCGTCTTAGGAAAGGGTGTGGTCACGCTCATCCTTTACAGCAGGAAAAATCAAGGTATATACTAATTTGAAGCTGTTAAGATTGTCCCTTTGCCCAATTGTTTCTGGTTTTGTAGTGTTGCACATGGTTTTACTGCCCAGTAGAATTCCATCTGTCAGGTCACAGCCTTGTAGGCTTGGCAGCTGTTGATTAGGGGACTTGCTGCAAATATGCTTTAGGCCTCTTTCTTTTACATAAAGAAGGAGCCAACAAGCATTTTAATGAGATGCTCTAGCTGTGTAATGTCAGTTATATTACAGAAAGTGTAGTTGCCAAAAACTAGTTTTCCTTTTAATGGGTTTGTTTGCCTTCCTGCACTTTTCTCACAAAAATATTTGCAATTCCACTGCTCAACCAGTAAAAACAAAATGGTGCCTCCGTTCCTCTCAATATGAGTAGGCCATGCGCAAATTGTCCGCAAAAACTTCAGTGCTCTAAATGGCAGGACAAGCTAGATGTGAGAAATGTAACCCCAGTGACTGCTCTAGCGTGATCAAACTGCCCTTTAGTATCAGAGGTTCAACCACTGCTGATAGAGCGTACACTGTGCATGCACACAATTTAAGTGAGCCAGAGCAGCAGCCGGGGGCACACTTTCCAACATCTGGCCTGCATATTGATGAGTATTTGTGGACAAGGCAGACATGGCCTGCACATATGGAGAGGAAAAGGAGTAAAGGCTGAAGGTTTTTTACCTTCATGGATTCGATGCATTTAGGTAAACAGCCTTCTGTGTACAGCAGTGCCACCAGCCCCCTCAATACTTACCTACATAGAGCAGGTAAGTATAAGCATGTTTATTTAAAAAAAAAAAAAAAAATAATAACCTTTAGTATCGCTTTAACTAAACCTGTAAGCATAGAGACTGTAAAAAGGCTAAGATTTGGTGCTAGGTGTTTTTTTTTTTTTTTTTTTTTTTTTTTTTTTTTTTTTTTTGTTTTTTTTGTTTTTTTTTTTTTGTTTTAGTTTTTATTATTATGCATATTGTCTTCCTCCTGAGATTATCCTACTTGTTTAGATTTTAACAGTAAAAAATGAATGCATTCTAAATTTTATTTTATTCCCCTGCAGGGTTAACGATGCATGCTTCAATTCTGGCATACATGTTTAACTTGGTAGAAGAAGGAAAAATAAGCACACCGCTGAATCCTGCAGCTCCACCCAATAATCAGCTATTTATTCAAGACTATGTAGCTAACCTATTAAAGTCAGCATTTCCTCATCTGCAAGAGTAAGTAAATAAACCAGAGTGATTTGTCTGCAAATATTTTTTTTAAATTTCAAGTACATTATTGTATCAAGGTTTCATGTTAAATAGCACTTGCGCTTATTAGATTGATAAAACTTTTTTGTATTTATAAAGAACCAGGTGGGAACGACATTTTCGGGATCCTGAATATCCACTTGTTTTTATTATTTTGTAGCCTTTCCCTATTTTAGTTGTATTTTCGCTCTGTCAAGACAGACATCAGCTTGTTGTCAGGCTTATAAGAACCTCATGAAGGCTAATCTGTCCCCTGCCTGAACTCCGCACTAATGAACACTCATTTGTCCTTTTTTGGTGAAGGAGAGCAAAATTGTTAAAGCCTTTTAGTTTTCTTTTATGTCATGGACAGAACATTACAGAGCATCCGTTATTACAAGTGTGCTTGGGGAGAAGATCGGATGACTTTAAAGGGTTAGTTCACTTTCCTATGCAGATAAGGGGTGTCTGTAGATAAAAACTGTGCAGCTCCAAATAAATTTGAATGATGCCCTTGCTACAGGTGTAGGCCGTTTACATACCTCCAAGCCTGACTGGAATACTCCCAGGATGTTGCAAAGTGAAGCCTAGTTGTTACTACTCACCGTAACTATTAAATGAGCAAGCTCTCAAGCACTGAGCTCAGACCTACTGCGACAGGGGAGAGAGTATGTGAGGGGGTCTGAATCAGAGAAAAAAAATAACTTCTGGGATGGTGGAGGTGACCAGTAACGACTAGGCCTCACATTAGCAACATCCTGGCAGTATTCCAATCAGGTTTCGAAAGTTTGTAAATGGCGTACACCTATAGCAAGGGCAATATTCAACTTTAGTCAGAGCTGCACAGTTTTTAATCTACAGATATCCCTTTACCTGCATAGGCAGTTTTTTTGTGTAGGTGAAATAACCCTTTAAAGATGTGTACTCCAACTGATACTTCTGCTGTGACAGGGTTAGAATACAAAGAAAATAAAGATTTAGTGTAATTTCAGAGATCCTATCAATTCAACAGTTGATTTTCAGATTATTACAGGTGAGACAAGTGTGTGGGCTGCCATTGCTGACCTTTGCTTCTGAAAATGGTAGTAGCCTTATCAAGCTGATTCAGTGGCTTCAGAACTTGATGTCACAGACCTGAAACCAGTATGCAGGTCAGCACTGACTGTATGCTTCTTTTTTTTTTTTTTTTCTTTTTTTTTTTTTTTTTAACTGTACCTGAAACTATTGTTACCCAGAAAAAAAAACAGGCATCTAGCATTTTCAGACCTTTTTCAGAAAATCTGGCCTATATATTGCTCTTCTTGTAGGTTTCCTTTTAATCCACCACCCAAAATATTGCAGCATTTGCTATTGAAAGTGGTGAATGGTGGTCATGACTGCAGTGCTTCGCTTTCAGAATGCTATACAATGTCCAATAAAACTTGCCTCCTGAGATAAAATGTCTTCACCACCTATAGCACTGTAGAGACAGTAAGCAACTAAAGGAATCTGTTTTGCTCCCATGCCTGACAATTTCAGGCAAGGAAATTCTTTAATAATGAAAGTAGAACATCTCCATTGCTGGTAGGTCTCCTTATCTGAAGTTTTTAACCTTGATTGGTGCTCCCTTTTGTGAGCATACTGCAGCTTTTAAATATTTTGGTGAGGTTCAGGTTGCGTATTTGTATGTTAAGTTGGATCCCCATGGAAAGGTAAATGGGGAAAAAAGCAACACCTCTTAATTTTACTGCAGTGCCCCTTACTAGGTAAATCTGATACTGGCAATTACACAGATACATTGGCCCACCTTTGCGTATTTTGTGAGGGGATATTTCTCGACACTGACATGGAAGGGTTCAAAAGCAAATGGGAAGTTTTTGTTTTTTAAATTCTTTATAACAATGGAACAGCAGTTCAGTCAACAAAATATATAAAAGAAAGCATCAACAGTAGGTCAAGCATGTACAGTAATCAAGAGTACAAGAAAAACACGTTCCCGATTCGGGTATGTAGATCAGTACTCATAGGGGGTCCACCGCACTGTTGTCCATTGTAATTACTTATATTCAAAAAATATAAGAAGGCTGAGCGGAAAGAATCAAGAAGAAAGTAAGCAATCAAAAAAGGCTCAGTAAAGAGAGAGGGAGGTGGGGGGTCGCAGAGAAAAAAAAAAAGGGGGGGGGGGGGGGGGGACGACTATTGGAGTGCAAGGTATTATTATTATACAGGATTTATATAGCGCCAACAGTTTGCTCAGCGTTTTACAATATAATGGGAGGCAATACAGCAACAATACAGTTCAATACAAGAGGGTTCTGCTCCTTGGAGCTTACATTCTAGGTAGGAGCTAATTTCCCATCTCTCACATCCAGGAGAGACTTCCCCCTCCTCCGAATAGATAGGGAAGTTTAATTGCAAGTGGATTTCATTTACACATATGTATGAATGCCTGCAGTTATCTGGTATTTTGCTGTTCATAAACACTTTTTTTTTTTTTTTCTTCCTTTTAGTGCTCAAGTTAAACTTTTTGTGACTGGTCTCTTCAGTTTAAATCAAGATATTCCTGCTTTTAAAGAACACCTTAGGGATTTCCTTGTACAGATTAAGGTAAATATCATGTCCAGTTTGATACCCAACCAAGGTACATTGAGTTCCCATTAGGATGTCTTAAAGTCTACCTATATCACATAAAATTAAACTGAGGATATGAATTAAACAGAGGCACCCTGGCCTGGTATTTGTGTGTGTGTGGTGTGTGTGGCCTGTGTATTGTGTGTGTGTGTGTGTGTGTGTGTGTGTGGGGGGTCCATATTTGTTCAGTGGCTACATAAGGGGGCAGGGGCAGTACGATTTCCTGCATCCCTCAATAAACTCCCAAGAAAAGGATTTTACGGTGTGGTTTGTTTTTTTTTTTTTATTCCTTATCTGCTGTTGTTTGATTTTTAACTTTCCAGTTAATCTTCTGGTTGGTGAGCTTTTTCAGGGGGCTGATGTCACAGCACAAAGTGTCCTACTTGGCTTTCAGGAGCAGCAGAGAGCTGTAAATCAGGGCTGGGAGGATCTCTTCATTTGGCATGGTTAGCTTCCTCCTGGATGACCATGCATGTGTGCCAGAGGAATGTATTTATTCATTATGGATGGCAGCAGAGGGCTAGCAAAGCAGAAGCAATTCCAGTTGCCGCTAGAAAGAGCCGTCGGCCCTCCACTGTAAATCCAATGCAGAGCTAAAAACTGGCCATAAAAGGCTACGTTTACCTTTTTAAGGAAAAAATAAATTCACAAATTTTGCAGGAGAAAATGTGCATTTTATGTTTTCCTACAGGAGCCTGCAAAGCATTGCACCTGCAAACAGTGGAACGCCAGTGCAATGTCAGCCTCCTCCACACTCTCCCTCTAGCTTTCTGCTCATACCTTTTTATAAGGATTTCAGTTACAAAGCTAAAGGAAGAGTGAATGGAGTACAATGAACTTGGCCTTTAAGTAGGGAAATTCTAGAACTTCTGTCAATCTTTTATTTGAGTCTGTTTTCTCTGGTAAATGGTTGTTCCCAAGTACATGAAGAGAGGGGAAAATTCCCTGACAGATATTCAGACTCCTTCCCCAGTCTGTCCAAAGCTTAAAATAAAAGGTTTTGGTTATAGATAGACTTTAAGCTATTTTTTTTCCATTATTGATAATCCATTGCATCTGCTTCCAATTGCAGGAGTTTGCTGGTGAAGACACTTCAGACTTGTTTCTGGAAGAAAGGGAAACAGCGCTTCGGCAAGCCCAGGAAGAAAAACACAAACTTCAGATGTCCGTTCCTGGCATACTTAATCCACATGAGATTCCTGAAGAAATGTGTGATTAGTTTTTAGAAACCAAGTTAATGTTACTTTCCCTCCTCCCACTGAACATCTACTTTGTTCAGGAAAACATCACTTTGATTATCGTTGACCAAAATGATGCCAATTTGTAAATTATAATGACACCTAGTGGCCCTTTTTTCTTATTATGCGTTTTTGTATAAGAAATTTTCTGTGAAATATCCTTCCATTGTTTAAAGCTTTGGTCATCTTTAGGTTTGCATGACATTTTAAAATAAGTTTGTTTATTTTTTTTTTTGTTTTTTTGTTTTTTATTTTTGTTTTTCCCGTTTTAAATACTCCCACCATTTTTGTTTCGTGGGGACAAGGAACTTCAAATTTCCATCTCTGCAAATGTGTTTCTGCAAATGCAAATTTCTTTCTCCCCCATCTGGAAATGTCATTTTTTTCATTCTTTTATGTGTTTTGCCTTCCTTCTAGTGGATCTTGCTGACTAGAAGGAATTGGTATGACAAATTGACTAATGAAGACAAATCAGTCAGGGCTGCATTCTCTGAACAACAAACAGGTTTATTTTGGGTTGAGGTGAGCTAAACAACATACATACTGCAGGTTGGATAGACTTTTGCAGCAAGGTCATGTGCATATCATCCCATTGTAAAGCAACTTCAGAAAGTATGGGAACACAGTACATTTAGTTATTTTTACACTTTTTTTGTTTTTGTTTTGTGTGTGTGCTGTCGCTTTGTCGACAACAGCTTTTTGTTTTCCTCAATGAGGAGCGTTGCTCATTTGTGAGCCTTCATTAATGAGAAGTGAAATGGTTAAAAATATTTATCCTGTTAGAATAGGCTTGCATCTTTTTAACAACTCATAAAATTCTGGCTTTTGAGATGACTTGTACTAATTTACATTGTTTACCATGCTGTAGTGCTTTAAGAACACTACTACTTAAAAAAAGCAAAATAAACTTGGTTTACATTTATTTCTGTCTCTGTTTTATGTAACTTACATCCATAGTTCCTGTGTATTTAATATAGACAGCAACCAGACATCAAGTTATTTACAAAGTAATAATATTTCATCTTTACAGATGTTCATAAATCATTTCAAGTTAGTTTTCTATGGAACGAGAGATAATTATTGACCAATTCAGTCCGTGGGGGCCTATAATCCTCCCAGAATTCTGATAAGTCCAGGCAAATATTAGGAAAATGCTTAAATTTGATATATGCATTGTTTTAGAAATGATGTAATTGTTCTCCAATTAGATAGTAAAGTTACTGTATCTGCCTTGATATTGAGTATGAAATATGCCAGCTAAGATTCTAAAATTTCAATGTGTAGTACGAGCTCCAGGTCTGTCATCTTCTGTTCTGTACAGGTGCTAGAGAGCCTTGGTGGGTTGGCATCACCCAAAATCTTTCTGCATGTGTTTTTGTCTGGGTAATGCAGGCCACAGATTATTCGTTTATCCGCCGATTTTTTTTGTCTGAAAAATGAAACCTCGTTCATTCTGTAATCCGATGTTGCCACCAATGATTTAGAAAATCAGCCGTTTTTTGCGAATTTTCCAGCATGATCGATAAACGAAATTATGAGGAACTGCGAAAATTGGCCGATGCCATTGCCCCACTAGCAGTGCGAAAATCGGCCAATCATTCTTTCGGACAAAAAATCGGTCGATAAACAAATCATCTATGGCCTGCATAAAGCTGCTCTTTAACAATTTCTGTTTTTTGACAATACAAAAATTTTAAGTTTGAACTCCAGCTAAAAGTTTTATTACATTTTGCACAGTGTGAGAAAATGGTTACAACCTTTCTCAGGTTTTTTATTGTGGCCATGTTTTGCTGAGGTTTCTTGCATTTTTTTTTTAACCTCTATATACATTTTAAAGTCCGAATCTGTCTTTTTTACTCTTTAAGGGTCCCATTGGAGAGATTTTCCTCTCCTCCAGACCCACTGACAATCTTATTAAATCCAGACATACAAATGAAGAAATTATAGATGCCGTGCTCTATCAAGACCTGTTACCTGTATATAGTATAAAAACTTTATTTGCATTAAATCTCTAATAGCTGCATAACCTCTTATGTGTAACCATACATGATTGTGATGCCAATCAATACCCAAACATGTGTTGGTAATAATGAATAAATGAATTTGAAAAATTATATAACAAAGTTGGTGATTAAAAAAAAAAAAAAAATTCTGTGCAAAATTATTCAAATTTGTGTCCTTCGATGATTAAATAATTCAAATAATAAATAAATAAAAAATAAAATAAAAATGGAGAAATATGGAAAATAAATAAAAAGTTAAAATTCTATGAATTTTGTGCAAAAACGCAAAACAAACTTGGTGCAGAGTTCAGCAGGGATGAGATATCTGTGTGCTCTCCTTCCAATCAGCCTGAGGTGATGCAGGTGAAGGTTGCAGATAGAGGACTAATGTGTAAGCCTGAATGGTCATATGGGTCTCTCCCTCCTCAGATCTTTCCTTGATCCAGCCCTTTAAGTATTCCTCATACGGATCATGTAAATAGAGAAAAGTGCATGGTGCTTTATCGTTGATAAAAATAAACACTTTAATATGCACTCCATATGCACTCACATTAATTAAAAAAAAATCTACACTTTGTATAATAGCCGCTTAAAGCGGCGAAGACCAGCCTCTGGGGTGTGTGCTCACATACAATAGCAGTGCTCGCCATGTAAGGATACATGGTGATGTCACTGCCCCTCCCCAACGCGTATCTCCACAGGGATTCGTGGCTTCGTCCGGGGGATGTAGTATCATACTACAAAAAAGCACATGCACTTTTCTCTATTTACCTGATCCGTATGAGGAATACTTAAAGGGCTGGATCAAGGAAAGATCTGAGGAGGGAGAGACCCATATGACCATTCAGGCTTACACATTAGACCTCTTTCTGAAACCTTTACCTGCATCACCTCAGGCTGATTGGAAGGAGAGCACACAGATATCTCATCCCTGCTGAACTCTGCACCAAGTTTGTTTTGCGTTTTTTTGCACAAAATTCATAGAATTTTAACTTTTTATTTATTTTCCATATTTCTCCATTTTTATTTTTTTATTTATTTATTAATTGGATTATTTAATCATTGAAGGACACAAATTTGAATAATTTTGCACAGAATTTTTTTTTTTTTTATCACCAACTTTGTTATATATTTTTCAAATTCATTTATTCATTATTACCAACACATGTTTGGGTATTGATTGGCATCACAATCATGTATGGTTACACATAAGAGATTATGCAGCTATTAGAGATTTAATGCAAATACAGTTTTTTTATACTATATACGGGTAATAGGTCTTGATAGAGCACGGCATCTATAATTTCTTCATTTGTATGCACTGATAACTCACATTTATGAGGGTGAGCAAGAAAGCCTGCGATCTTATTGATAGAAGCAGTCTATTGTACACCTTATTGGCTCACAAGTAAAACATTTTTTATATTCAATTAAATCCAGACAGGTTGCGATGGAAAGTCTCCCAAAAGGGACACAGCAATATAAAGCTGGTCTAGGTTCTAGCAATTCTGTGCTCTACTTTTGTCAACTTGTTTTTTTTTTTTTTTTTTTTAAATAATCAGTATTCCACTTTGAGATTTCCGCTCATTTCATGTGTCTTAGTAACATGCCATCTCCAGGACAGGCATTGAGAGGACATTTTCCCAATGGGACCCCCCCAAACAGTGAGCCTAGGTTCACATGTGTTCTAAAATCGCAGTTTTGTAGGGAGATTCTGCCCTGTGAAATCACATTTTCTTCCTTCCTTCCTGGGAAAAGTCTGTGAAGCATAAGCAGTCGACATGGCCAACGGACCAAGTGACAAAAGGATATTGTGCAGAATTGTGACCCAGTATAAGAAAACTGCTGCAAAAGTGACTGCAGAGCTCAACCTCACCCCCCAGAGTAGTACAGTGTTACTATGGTGACACTAAACTACTGATGAAAGTATGTTAAAAAAAAAAAAAAAAAAACTTTTTTTTTTTCCTTTCCATACTGTCACCAGTCCGTGTCCCTGATCACTGCCACACCAGTCATATAATGAAGCTGTACTGCACTGGTGACAGTGTGTTGAAAAAAAAAATTTTTTTTTTTATTTTTACAAAAAATTACAACTTCACAAAACTCAAGATGCTTCTAACTAAATTACTGTGGACAGTCTACTTTCAAAAAAGGGTAATTTGGAGGGTATTTGTACTGGCTTTTAGGGTCTCAAGAAATGAGATGAGCCATCAGAATTGATCAGTTTTCATATACAGTGGGGAAAAAAAGTATTTAGTCAGCCACCAATTGTGCAAGTTCTCCCACTTAAAAAGATGAGAGAGGCCTGTAATTGGCATCATAGGTAGACCTCAACTATGAGAGACAAAATGAGAAAAAAAAATCCAGACAATCACATTGGCTGATTTGGAAAGAATTTATTTGCAAATTATGGTGGAAAATAAGTATTTGGTCAATATCAAAAGTTCATCTCAATACTTTGTTATATATCCTTTGTTGGCAATGACAGAGGTCAAACGTTTCCTGTAAGCCTTCACAAGGTTGGCACACACTGTTGCTGGTATGTTGGCCCATTCCTCCATGCAGATCTGCTCTAGAGCAGTGATGTTTTGGGGCTGTCGCTGGGCAACACAGACTTTCAACTCCCTCCAAAGTTTTTCTATGGGGTTGAGATCTGGAGACTGACTAGGCCACTCCAGGACCTTGAAATGCTTCTTACGAAGCCACTCCTTTGTTGCCCGGGCGGTATGTTTGGGATCATTGTCATGTTGGAAGACTCAGCCATGTTTCATCTTCAATGCCCTTGCTGATGGAAGGAGGTTTGCACTCAAAATCTCACGATACATGGCCCCATTCATTCTGTCCTGTACATGGATCAGTCGTCCTGTTCCCTTTGCGGAGAAACAGCCCCAAAGCATGATGTTGCCACCCCCATGATTCACAGTAGGTATGGTGTTCTTTGAATGTTTGAATGCAACTCAGCATTCTCTCTCCTCCCA